ACGGTTACTGGTGCCCCCATCACTAAAATGCCCCAATAATCTTTAAGCTGCTTCGCTCTTGCAAAGACTCTCCAGTAACATTCTCTCATGAGTGTTTTTTTCCCCCATTGGCAAATTTTCCTGCTTGCTTCTCTCCGTTTCAGAGAGCTGAGGCCCTATTTAGACTATGTCAGCAAAATGCGTCAAGTAAACTGCACAAATCTACAGAGAAACATACCTACAGTAGGATCGGGAGCTGCGGTGCTTGCTCAAAGGTCTGACTTGCTGGAACACTTCCTAAGCTCACAGCACTTTTGCTCGTTCTCACCTAACCCTACAAACGTAGAGAACATCCTTGCTTTCCAGATGTGGAGGCACTGACAGCAAGCAGCCAGGATTAAAGTCCCAGGTCCTCACGTCTCTGTGAGAACCTGACCTCTTCCATTCACAAGTCAGTGGGTTTTCTTTCTTTCTCACTGTACTATCTGGAAATCTACCCCTGTACACAAGTTATAAGGAATTAAAACCCTCTGGGCACAGTGGTACATGCCTTTAATGCCAGCATTCCAGAGCAGAGGCAGGTGGCCAGCCTGGTCTACATAGTGAGTTCCATGATAGCTAGAGCTACATAGTGTGACCCCCATCTCTAAAAAACAAAAATAAAAACAAAAGTAAAGCCCCCTGAAGGCATCCAGCTGACAGGAAGGTTGCTTAGGTCTGCTGTTCCTCGGAGATGAAGCTCTTCCCTAGCCTGAGTCTCGCTGTCACCGCTTTCTCAGCATGGTAAGATCTAGCCCAAATGCTCTACCAGGCAGGAGTAGGAACTGTGAAGCACACGCACTGAGGACTCTGATGCAGCCACTACTGCTTCCCTCTTCCAGCAAGCTCCTCCACTCACAACCTGCCACCCTTCACCATCTCTCACCCCCTCAATGCCCTTCCCGGCTCACTTGTTATCAAATTAAAGCCATGACCACTAATTAGAAGATTCCTCACGTATGACTTTCTGTCTCCCATGCGCTGCTGTGGCTTCTTAACCACGATCAACCCCACGTGTGTTTACAGCATTATTATTTGTACTGCCCCAAAGTGGAAAAAGTCTAAGAGTCTATCAGTTAGAAGAAGGAATGAACAACAGAAAGGGAAGGAACATGTTCAGCAATAACCAGGGACAAGGACTGGTACCTTTGAGCGCCTGAATGAACCTCAAGAACATGCTGAGCAAAAAGAAGTTGTATCACTTACTTTTCTGTTTCTGCCACAAACTACAAACTCCATGATCAGAAATGACTGACAGAAGGAAGCTCCTTTTGGCTCATGGTGTCAGGGGTAGAGCTGTAAAGGCAGCAGCATTACAGCTGAGCCAGCAGATCAGCTCCATTCATGCCCAGAAAGAAGAGGACGCCAAGTGCAACTGGGATGAGAATGTAACTCTCAAAGGCCACCCCTGTTGGTTCCGGAGTATTATTTTAAGGTGTGTGCCTTTTGTTTATGCTGCATTAACTCTGTGAAGCTGTGATTCTTTGCCTGTCTGAAAAACCTGATGGTCTAATAAAGAGCTGAATGACCAATAGCAAGGCAGGAGAAAGGCTAGACGGGCAAGCAGAGAATATAAATAGAAGAACCAAGGAAAGGGAGAACAAGAGAAAAAGGCGAGGATGACATCAGGGGCCAGCCACCCAGCCAGCCACAGAGTAAGAGTGAAAGTAAGACAGACAGAAGTAAGAGAAAGATAAAAGCCCAGAGGCAAAAGGTAAGTCGGGGTAATTTAAGTTGAGAAAAGCTGGCAAGAAACAAGCCAAGCGAAGGCTAGGCACTCATAACTAAGAATAAGTCTTTATGTGTGATTTATTTGGGAGCTAGGTGGTGGCCCCCCTAAAAAGCTAAAAGAGCAAAGGAGTAAAAGATCCAACAGCACGACCTCAGCATGCTTCCTCCAGCGAGGTTCGACCTCAGAAGGTCCCAAACCTCCACAAACAGTGCCACCAACTGGGGACCAAACGTTCAAATTTAAGCCTATGGGTGACTTTTCTCATACAGACCATCATGGAAACCAAACACAAACTACACATATTATATGATCCCACTTATAACAAACGGCCAAAAATTCAAACCTATAAATAAAAAAAATATATATGAGTTGGGGCTGGCAAGGTAACATACAATTGTGGTTGTATAATTTGGCATGTAAATTATACTCCAATAAAGTTCTTTTTTAAAAAAAATGGTTAATTGCCTTACTAGTTGGCTACAATCTATACATAATTGGAGAAGAAAACGGTCATTGAACTGGCAAGATGGCTCAGTAGGTACAGGTGCTTGACACCAAGCCTGAAAACCCAAGTTCAATCCCCAGGACTCACACAGTAGGAGAGAAAATAATTGTTAAGATGAACTTTATTAAAATTGAAATATTTGCTTTTTGTAAAAAAACATTATCAAGAAAACAAGAAGAACAATAAGATAGACTAACAGGACACATTTAATTAAAAATGAGTCAAAGGAGCCAGGCAATGGTGAAACACATCTTTAATCCCAGAGGCAGGCAGATCTCTGTCAGTTTAAGACCAGCCTGGTCTACAAAGTGAGTTCTAGAACAGCCAGGGCTACACAGAGAAACCTGCCTAGAAAAAAAAAAAACCTAGCAAACAAAAAAGTCAAGGGAGCTAGAGGGTTGGCTTGATGGCAGAGCACTTGTCTAGCAACCATAGGCCCTGGGTTCAAACCCCAGAGCCAGAAAAAAGGAAGGAAGAGGGAAGGAAGGAAGGAAGGAAGGGAGGGAGGGAGGGAGGGAGGAAGGAAGGGAGGGAGGGAGAAAGGAAGGAAGGAAGGAAGGAAGGAAGGAAGGAAGGAAGGAAGGAAGGAAGGAAGGAAGGAAGGAAGGACAGGCAGGCAAGCAGCCCCAAAGACTTTAAAAACACCTCATCCAAACAGACTTACAGATGACAAACAGGCATATAAGAAGATGTTCCACACCAAATATCACTAGAGAAAAAAAAACTAAAGCCACATCAAGATACATACTACAGTCCCTACTACAAGCAGGCAAATCCTCACTCTCTGTGGGTAGGAACGCAGAACAGCAGCTTCCTACAAAGCTAAACATGCTCACACGTACAATTCACCAGTCACACTGTTCAATACTGACCCAAAGAGGAAGAAAACTCACCTGCCCAAAACGTGCCAGTGGGTATTTATGAAAACTGCGTAGCCCTGATCTGATCGTTTGAACTTTTCCAAGAGCCACACCATTAACTTGTTTCTTTTTTTTCTTAATATTTATTTATTTATTATGTATACAATATTCTGTCTGTGTGGATGCCTGCAAGCCAGAAGAGGGCACCAGACCTCATTACAGATGGTTGTGAGCCAACATGTGGTTGCTGGGAATCGAACTCAAGACTTTTGGAAGAACAGGCAATGCTCTTAACCACTGAGCCATCTCTCCAGCCCCATTAACTTGTTTCTTAAACAAATCATGTAAAATTACCACAGGGCTGGAGAGAAGGCTTGGCAGTTAAGAGCAATGCAGCTCTTCCAGAGAACCCAGGTTTGATTCCCAGCACCCACATCAGGTAGCTCACCTCTAGCTGCCTGTAAGTCTAGCTTCAGAGGCTCCAAGGCCTCTGGCCTCTGTGGACACCATCCTCGCCCCCACATCTGATTGAAAATCTAATATCTTTTAAAAATATTTACCAACAAGGCATATGTATAAAGAATATATGAAACATAAATGAATTTTGTGAGTAGACCTGGATCCTGTCCCTAAGATATCTTATTATATATATCTGTACATATTCCACAATCTGACGGCTAAAACACTTTTAGTCCCAAGTATTTCAAATAAGAGAAACTTAATCTATAACAGCTCTACTTACAACTGTTATTCTAGACTACACGACTCACACCTGTAATTCCTCAGTTGGGAAGTGGAGGCGGAAAGATTGCAAGTTTAAAGCCAGCCAAGGCTACATAATAAGACCCATCACAAAAAGTGTTTTTCCTATGCTCCAATTTGACCCCCAGTGCGATGATGGAGAGCCCTCCAGAATAGAGTTCATCCTCTTTCTCACGTTAGGTAGAAGGAGGTCCCGCACCAGAATCTGACTGCTGGCACACTGGCCTTAAACTTCCAGCCTCCAAGACTATGCAGAATAAAGTGTCTGCTGGTTTAGCCATTCAGCCTCAGGTAACTGGTCACAGTAGCATGAATCGAAGCCAATTTGTTCTGAGGCTTCTATCTTCTTGGACTGACCAGCCACTTCTGGCCTCCAGTGTGCTCCTAACAATCCCCTTTCATAGTTACAAACACATTCAATAGGCTCTCTTCCTCTAAAGAACCTTTATTTATATATAAATCTAGTTCCTCCTTTTTTTCTTGGTTTTGTTTGTTTTGTGTCTTGTTTTGTTTTGGTTTGGTTTTCAAGACAGGGTTTCTCTGTGTAACAGCCCTGGTTGTCCTGGAACTTGCTCTGTAGATCAAGTTGGCTTCAAACTCAAAGAGATTCACCTGCCTCTGTCTCTTGACTATTTCCTCTTTTCTTATGTTTATTGGCTGTCTCCCTCTTTCAGCCTCAAACAGTAAGTTTATAAACACCCTCACACTCCAATTCATGCTTCCCATCATTCTTTTTGCACCTAATTCCCAGGCCTTTCTGAAGAGCCAGCCAAGTCCTGGGTCTTTCTTTTAAAACCTTCACTAGATCTGCCAGGTGAGGCGAGGCATACTTGCAGTCTAGCCAATGGAGGCTGAGGCAAGAGGATCACCACCAAGTTCAAGACTAGCCTTGTCTATCTAAATGAGTTCCAGGCCAGTCCTGAGCTACAGAGTGAGACCCTGTTTCAAACAACCAATAGAAGTCCTACCAGTACTTGCGGAGCTTTGATTCTGATAGTTATGGACATCAAGCTCCTCAAAGTACAGTTAATCTTGTTAGCAATGTCAGAACGCTCGGTTAAGTCAGTTAAAGTCAGTTACCAAAACTAATCAAAACCTTATTTGAGTTTCCACATAGACCTACCTGTACTACTCAGGACCTTTCATTACGATAATAATAGAATGTACTTTGCATTCCGAGGCCTCAAGAAGAGAGTACTCTTAAATTTCTCAGTACACATGGACAAAACTGTACCAAATAAAAAGGAAATAAGAATTACTCAAGACAGCCAAGGACTGGATTCGCTCAACTCCAGCATTCATTTTTACCACTGATTAGGACATCTGCCACAATTGAAGTCACATACCTAGATGCATCCAGGAATGGTCTATGGGCCAGGCTGATCCACTCTTCTTTGTTGGATGAATAGTTTGGCTCCCAGGGTGTCTCTCTCATGGTATCCAAGTCCACTAAGTAATGGCATTTGCTGATGTCAATCTGAAACGGAAAAGGTGAGCTCTTCATCAGTAATTATGAAGATTGTTGCAGAGTAGAGACCCAATTATAACCCTAAGAATTCCCATATGGCTTAGAGAAATAAACACCCACGCTACCTAGGCTAATAGCATGGGCTACCCTGAGGCAGCTGGGGACAGACACGCATGTAGGCAGCTGAAGTGGTCTGTAGTCAGTCTATGTTTTTAAGTCGCTCCAGCCCCACAGACACTTAAATAGCCAACTTGAGTGTACAGCCTAACTCTAGAAAAGCAGTCTTAGCCGAGTGGTGGTGGTGCACGCCTTTAATCCCAGCACTTGGGAGGCAGAGGCAGGTGGATCTCTGTGAGTTCGAGGCCAGCCTGGTCTACAGAGCTAGTTCCAGGACCCAGGCTCCAAAGCTACAGAGAAACCCTGTCTCAAAAAACCAAAAAGAAGAAAAGCAAACTTATGTTCACTACTGCTCCCTTCATCTATCTTATTCTAGAGGTCTAAAGGACACGCCTGATGGAGTCAGAGATGGAATTGCACCTTCTAACAATACAGCAAGATCAGGAGCATCTCCTGCAAGAAGTGAAGAGAACGGACAGAGGCCTAGAACTGCCTCTACAGCAGGCTCAGCACAGCTGAGGAACCACAGCGGCGGGAGTGAAGAGCAAGAGAAGTACAGAAGATTGGCAGCAGTCGTCCAATTGCTCACAGCCTACGGAATATCAATTCGCTCTATCTGAAAATCAAGTCCTAAGTGCCGACTAGAAGACAGATGACGCACATCAAGCAGTCGAGGTTCACAGTATGTAAGATGAGCTCCTGTCAATCAGTGAAACAAACCACCCAACAAGAAATGGGCAAGCTCCTTTAATAGGTATTTCAAAAATCTCTAGATGAAACAAATGAAAAGTGCTCCATCTCACTAATAAGCAGAAAATGTAAAGTTAAATCAACATGAAATAAATTACTTAAATCAACATGAAATAAATTACCATAGAAGCCAGGCAGTGATGGCACACGCCTTTAATCCCCATACTCAGGAGGCAGAGGCAGGTGGATCTCTGTGTTCAAAGACAGCCCGGACTACAGAGTGAGTTCCAGGACAGCCAGAGAGAGCTACACAGAGAAACCTTGTCTAGAAAAAAAATTAACATAAAAAATGTTGGCCATAATATAAAGCAACAATTATACATTAAGTTGTACAAAATTTTTCAGAAAACCATGTATTTCCTATGATATTAGAATCATAGGAAACCATCTTAATATCCCCAGGTATAATAATAATACACCCAGTATAAGATCAATATATGAAATCATTAATATTCAGTGTCTGAAATAAAAATGATAATTTCATATAACTCAACCTAAAATATATCTAACAGAAATACCTGAACCATAAAACAAGTTCAAGAATGTTTGAAGTTGGGCTGAGGATCTGAGTCTAATCCCGGGAGCCCAATAGTAGGAGAGAACTGACTCTCACAAGTTGTCCTCTTACCTACACACACACACACACACGTGTCCACACACATATACACAAGCAACTCATGCGCACATATAAAGAAATGGGAAGAAAATTTAAAATAAAGACAAAAGCAAGGAAATTATTACTGTAAAGTCAGCAGACTACTCGGAGATGGTATAGACCTTGGTCACGGGAAGCACCAGGACCCAGAGGGGTCTGGGATATTCTACTTTTTGTCTTTTGAAGTGGCTCCACAGGTATTTTCTCTTAAAACAATTAGCTGTATACCGACATTTTATATATTTAGGTTATACCTAAGGGAAGATTTTTCCCAGTGCACATAAGAGCAACCTGGTTTTCAATAGCTTGCAGCAAGCTGCTCTCTTCCAACTTCACCTCCCAGCACTGTTCTCATTCCCTCAGTTTTATTTCTATGTAAAGAAGACTTTAGTCTCACATCTGTCTTTCCATATGGGCTATTCCTCCAGGGAAGAGAAAGCACACTGAGAATTGACGTCAGACCCAATTCCATTCTGCATAACTCTCTAAAAATGGTCCTCTGCATAAACACTTCAGGAAGTGGCCTTTTTTCTGTCTGTACACCCACTCTGCAGCTCCTGGGCGACTGTAAGAACATGATGCAATATTTTAAAGGCTTTCCAACGCCATGCTTCTAAGGAGAACCAGCAAGAGGCAGAGGGCCTGATGGTCTTAAGCTTGTACTCCTTCCCACAGGGGGTCCAGTTCACACAGTTACAATCCCTCACCTCAGCCTGACCTTTCCTAGTTAGGCACAGCACAGGTCTAATTATGGAGGTTTGGCTGGGTACAGTCTACTGTAACTGGAGGTAGTAACTAATTTAGCAGTCAGCCTAGGCTCTACTCGCCAAATCGTCCCTAGGGAAATTCTAAGTAAAGGCCTCAGAGAGCCACCAGGGCAAAGCCATATTGAGATAGCAATGCATTCTGTAAGACTTTAACCTCTGCCTTATCCTTTGGCAAACAGTTGCTGAAAACTAAAAGCCATGACAAAGGCCTCCAGAAGCAAGGTTTTTCATTCAAGGGCAGATAAAGTTATTAGAAAAGGAACTTTAACACAGCAGGCTTAGTTTCATTCAGGTCTATGCTCTACCACCAATTATATGTGAACTGTAGTCATTTAAGGTTTTTATATAATTTCTTTGCCTGTAAAATGAACATATTGTCACTAACCTTTAAGAGTTTCAATGAAGATCAATGACATGTCTAAACAGAACTTACCAACTAGGAGTAACTACACTAATAGCTCAAATAATAGAGGAATATTCGACCACCTCTGCAAAATGAGAACAGGAGAACCTGAAGCAACAACGTCCCATCACCAACCATCCCACTTTCAACTTGGTCTGGTGTCTACTGCCAAGTCAATAAACTCAACATGTAAAATGGAAGGGGTGCAGCACTGACTATCCCTAACTGGACCAGAAGCATCCACTAAATGGTATCAACATTAATCATCTGAGAGCTGGCGAGATGGCTCAGTAGTTAACAGTACTTGCTCTTGCAGAGGACCCAGATATGATAACATATGCCTGTATTTCAGTTCGGGGCTGAGGCAGGAGGATCAAGAGTTTGATGCCACACTGGGCTATAGCCTGAGGTCCTGTTTTAAGAGACTCCCATCCCACACCCCTTAAAAAGCTAAAGAGGATGGAAGGAAGAGATGAAAAAGACATAAGAATTAAAGAGACCATTTGAGAGGAAGGGATGTACACACTAGAAAACAAATCCCAAGCCTACAGAAAGGCCGTGAGAAGCATAAAGACTGAGCAGAGGTAACTTCTAAAATGGCAACAGTTATACCAAGTGTATTTATCTCCACTAGAATGTTGTGTGAGGACAAGGAAAGAGTAGCCCAACCTCCTATTCTCAGTGACATCCCCTAATGTCCATCCATTAGCTTGAGCCAAACCTCCCAAGTCCTAAAATGTAGCACAAATAATAAAAACAGATACTGGGGTTCAAGGTGAAGATCAGAAAAGCAAAGCAACCAAACCACTATAGAGTTCTCACTTCTACCAACGGCTCAGATCAAACGGGCAATCCACCAAACCTCAGACTCAACTGTTCTCCAGCAAACCACAGGCTGAGACTAAGACTAAGACCCTGGGCTCCTGTTTTCTCCCTTCTTATATTCCGCTCTGGTGTCGGGATTAAAAGTGTGCACCACCACCGCTTGGCCTCTATGGCTAACGAGTGTGGCTGCTGGGATTAAAGGCGTGTGCCACCACTGCCTGGCCTGTATGGCTGACTAGTGTGGCTAGCTTTGCTCTCTGATATTCAGGCAAGCTTTATTTATTAAAACACAATAAACTATCACTATGCTAAAATAGGAAGGATGTGAGTTTGCACTCAGGCATGTATCAGCTGGAAAGGACAGTGACACACATACTGGAAAAACAGAGGTCTCTGTCGAGGGTCCGTGCGGAGAGGATCACAGAGAAAGGATCTCCATAAATACCACAGATCTTATTTCTCTACTGTCACTCAAGGAAAATTCGATATGTAGGAACATAGAATAATGCGAAAATCTCTGTAAACCAAATGTCCTATAATAAACACGAAAAGCGGGCCCACAGCTCCCACAATTCAAGACAAGGATTAAAGCTAGAAAAACACAAAACAAAACAAAAAAAGCCAGGACATTTTTTCCCATAGCTAAAATTTGGTATGTAGGCTGCCTAATACAATAATGGCTAACATGAGATATTAATTTAATACTTAACCTCTGAAAACAATGTCTTTCTAAACACAGAATATCTGATTAATGTCTCCTCATGTGCCTCTGTAAGCAACTGCAGTGAGGCCAGGCTTTCCTACAGCTCAGTCCTCCAAGTTCTGTAAAGTCAAGGACTGGGCTTTTCTTGGTCATCACTACCCCCCTAGTGCCTTGAGACCTCGCAGGTCTCAAACATCTAGGAGGCTGTGCAACAGGAAACACTAGTCACCACAGTCACCATCCCCTCACTCCCCCAGTTTATCAGATCTTACTGTATTTGGCTCAATACATCAAACTTAAACTTAATGTTTCCACTACGTCATGAAACGGGACAGCCAAACACCCTACCCTCCTACTTACCCTAGAGGTTTTACCACCTCTTCAAAAGGTTTCGGATACAAATGATGATAGTTTTCTCAAGTCTCTAAAGGAAATAATCCCACCGCTAAAGGCATATGTTTGTCAATGGGTGGAGGAGGAGGATCAGGAATACAAGGCTGCCTTTGCAGCAGAGCAAGTTTGAGGCCAGTCTGGGTTCCATGAAACCTTGTCTCGAAAGACAAAACAAACACAATTCGAGATTTTTATAATGTTCCTCAATTTCAGACATTTTATCAACCAAAAAGGTATGATTTGGGGAAGGGGCTTCAGCAGATGAGACACGCCCAGCACATACACCCGAGCCCCCACGGGATTGAAAAGACAAGGAACACAGCTGCAGGAGTGGTGTGGGTTATACAGCAGGAGGCACCAGAAAGAGACTGGTGAAATCCCCAAACACTGGAATTCAGATTCGTGACAGACAGGAAGGAACCTTGCACTGGATACTCTGCAGAACTATAGGAAGAGGGACATTTCCCCTCAGCAGAGCTTCAGCAAGAGAGAAGAGGGACCTCCAAGGTGAGCGCCTAAGATGCAGGATCTGGTGTGATGCAAAAATGTAGTTAAAACAGATCTGGCCAGGTGGTGGCGGTGCACACCATTAATCCTAGCACTTGGGAGGCAGAGGCAGGTGGATCCTTGTGAGTTCAAGCCCACCCTGATCTACAGAGCGAGTTCCAGAACAGCCAAGGCTACACAGAGAAACCTTGTCTCAAAAAACCAAAACCAACCAACCAACCAAACAAACAAACAAAAAAAAGCAGAGATCTGCACAACAAGCAGCAGGTCTGGAGGGGCCTAGGCTTCTTACCTTCCTCACTGTTGTTGCTGGGGAATCTTACCATCAGACTTAATGACCAAAGGAACAGAGGCCCTTGCGTTTCTACATCTGCAGGTCCCAGCTGAGTGAACAGCCATCCTGTGAGTATGGATCCAGGAAATCAGTTACAGGGGGACACTAATTCGGACAATGCATCTATATGGGAGACAGTATCCATTGTGCTCCCACTTGGGAAGAGCAGAAGAAATCAACTGTGTGTGTACAAGTGGAGCCTGGGACAGAGACTGGAAGCACCGCAGTCACCCAGAACTTGAGTCTCACCCCCATCCCAGCCCCAGGGCAAACTGTTCTGGTTGGATCATCTTCTTTCTGAAGGTCCCAGAGACAATTGGTGGAAATATAACCTCTGCCCAGCTATTTCCCACCCCTACATATGCACTGTCCTAGCGCCTCTGGCACAGGGAGCATCCAACCAGATAGTCCTCAGGCTGGACCAGCAAGATCAAACTGAGGGATTCCTGAACACATCTGCCTATCCCCTTCCCCTTCCGTGAAGGTGCTGAGTCAGCTCTTTTGAAGCTAAGTGTCTCTGTCTCTGACAGGTGCTTTCCTATACTTCACCTTTGACTCTGAAATTCCTTCACTTTTTCTTCAGAGGCTCTGACACAGCAGGAACCATCTTCCTCTTCTGGACTTGTTCTTCATGCCCCACTGGACAGTTTCCTTTTCTTACTGTATATCTCCTAACTTCACCCCACACACTTTCACTCTTTCCTACTTTGCTGTGTCTCTCCCCCTTTTCTGTTGTTTTATTAATACCTACCATTCAAATTGTTCAACTTCCTACCTTACCCTTTATGACATTAGCTCCTCTCTTTACAGTTCTTGTTGGGGGCATAGTTGTTATTCCCAAATGTCTTTTTTTTTTAAAATTAAGCATCTCATTTGTCTCTGTTGGAGTTTGCTTTTTTTATTGCAGTCTGCTTTCTCTTCCCAACACAGAAGTGAACTGACCACACCAAAAAACAAAAAAAAAAACAGGATGAGGTGTTTACCCCATAAACAAACCATAACACAGAAATCCAAAATAAGAAAACACGAAGTAACATGACTCCTCCAAAAATTCCTCTCTCCAAAGAGATAAAAATTACTGAAGTACTGGACAAAAAAATTAAAAAATAATTTTTAAATAGCCAATTATCTCAAAGAAGACATAAATAAATAAGTAAGTAAGTAAATAAATAAATAAATAAAATAAATTGAGGAGCAAGATGAGAAAATCAGCAAAGAAACAGACACTGGGGAAGAAGACCTCATTATAGAAAAGGAAAAACCCATAAGAAAGCAGTTCTGTGGACTAATCAGGAGAAAGAGGGGATTCCGGGGGTCAGAGACTGCAACCACGGGGAGGAATTAGTGATTCAGAAACCAATAAAGGAAAACGTTAAAAACTATGACAGCTTCCAGGACTTCTAGAGTGTGGTTAAGAAGCAAAGTCTGAGGCTGGGGACTGCTGGGTCTAAAAGCATAGACTGCTCTTCTAGAGGACCATTCCTTCACAGCACCCATATCAGACAGCTCATAACCACCTGTAGCTCCACCCTCTTCTGGCCTTTGACAGCACCTATACAAAAGTGATACACACACTCATACAGTCATACACATATAACATAAATAAGAAGAAATATTAAAAAGAAAAAACTTGAAATCTTTGGTATAGAGGATGGATACAAACTAAAGGCACAAAAAAACTATTCAACAGAATTATAACAGAAATTTAGGGAGAGATATGAACATCCAAATACATGAAAAGTATTTTTTTTAATCTTGCCTCTGTTCTGGTCTTTTTGGACTATTCTATGCCATATTCTAGTTAAAATATCAAGAGCCTTGGGAGGAAGGATATGATAGAGATGTCCCACTGAGGGCTGAACACCCTGTAATCTCTTATTCTCCTCATCTTGAGCAGTCTGTGGGTCTCTATGGAAATGGCCATCTACTGCTCCTTTGATAAGGGTTGAATGATGCACTAATACAGGTATATGGTAAGTCATTAGGAGCCAGTTTACTACTGCCATGTCCATATAGCAGAATAAAAGTAGTGGGTTCTTCCTAGGTCCCATGACCTAGCTAGCCACAGGCTCTTCACCCAAGACCAGTCCTAGGCAGGAGCTGTCTTATGAAATGGGCTTTAAATCCAACTGGAAGGTTACCACCTTAACATCTGTGCCACTACTGCACCACTCGGCACGTCTTACCAGGCCACTCACTGTTGTAGTTCCCAGCATTCACATCTGGATAAGACTACTGAATACACACCCAGGAGCATGCAAAGAACCCCTGGAAGGGAATTTTAAAATTCCTAGACACAAATTAACTATCAGAAAAATGAAAGATACAGTAAAGGCAATTCTAAGAAGGAATTTTACAGCCATAAGCACTTACATTAAGATGCCAGAGAATCACAAATAAAATCGTCTCATGATACTTCAATGTTTCCAGAAAGTAACAGACCAAATCAAAAGCCAGTATACTGAAAGGATATCAAACCTAAATCAGTAAGATGCAAACCAACAGAAATGACCTATGCTGAGGTTACGAAAACTTACAATGCAGTAAATATTTTGAGAAAACATATTCACATAATTTTTTTTACTATATATACTATTAAATTTTTTCTACTATATTAGTGTTGAATTAGGGGTGTGTAGAGAACTGGAATTCATTCTGTAGTCCAGGCTGGCCTCGAACTCAGAGACCCACCCTGCCTCTGCCTCTGCCTCCCCAGTGCTGGTATTAAAGGCATGCGCCACCATGCCTGGCTATTGTTGAACTCTTAATGTGCCTAATTTGTAAATTAAACTTTATCACAGCTATATGTACAGAAAAATCATAACACATCCAGAGTTTCAGAAATCCACTGGGGTCTGCTGGATAAGAAACTGGCAGAAGGCCAGACACAGTGATGTCTGTCATTAATCCTAACATCTGGGAGGCAAAGGCAAGTGGATCACTGAGTCTGGGGCCAGCCTGGTCTACAGAAAGAGCCGCAAGACAGCCAGGGCTGCATAATAAAGAAACCATGTCCCAAAAATTAAAAAATAAGGAGAGAGAAACGGGCAGGGTGATACTAGCTGTAATCACTAGATAACACCAGCAGGCTGTGACGAGGTTGACAAGCCTATCCATCCTATGCACTGTGGGGAATCCAGAAGGAACAGGACAAACATAAGAAACAAATCAGAAATATGTAGGCAACAGAAAGAAGGCCAGTAACTCGGTGACTGCAGACACATCTCTCATGCACTAACAGAGAGCCTGCTACACACGGTGAACACAGTCACTCCCATCTGAAGAGAATTCGGATAGCGTGAGGTGGAGACTAGTACTCCAGGCATGGTCACCAACACAAAGACACTGATAAGGAAAAGACAACAACCATGGACAAACTGAAATCAAAGCTAGGTTGAGATTAGTGACAGTCAGGACGGTGAAAGGTCTGGGCAGATTATAATTTCTGTAAGGGATCCTTTATCAGATGAAGAGCATTTGTGAGATATGCCTCAGTGCCAGACACTATGCTAAATGACAAATGCCAGGCTGCTGGGGATGTAGCTCAGTGGCAGAGTACAGGCCTAACACACAGCAGACCCCGGGTTGGATTCCCACTACTGCATACATCAGGATGCTCACACAAGAGAGATCCTCACTATCTGGCTGCAGGTCAGCTTCTGTCTTATTACACTATATCTTGAGTATATGACACAAGAGAACCTAAATTAAATATATGATATTTAAGCTATCATCTATTTAATAATACGTTGCCAAAAAATAGTGCTTTCCAGCCATTTAACCAAAGGGCCTTTTACTATCTATGAATTTAATTCTATCATTTATATTTATTCATCACATGACATTTAAACAACACACACACACAGTTTTTATGTGCTTATCAAGGGGTTCACAAACTCCAACAGGCACCATGTTGTAGAAGTCAGAAACAACAAATGCCTTTACTACTGAGCCATCTCGAAGGTCAGCTCTCAACTTTTTTAACCAGAATTCTACCAGTATCAAACATCAAAACCGTTCTCTCTCAAAAGAGCTGAATAAAAAATTCACATGACTTGAAGGCAAGTAGGTAGAAGATCATGGCACTGACAGGGATTGCTCCATGGAACTTACTCTGAAACAGCCTTTCTGAGTGCTGTGCTAGCAAAAGCAGAGCACAGCAAAAGCCAGGTCAAAGGTCACCTGGTCACTTAGAAGCTCCCCACCAAGTATTTCAGGAGACCAAGGAATGATGTGAGTTTCAGGGAACTCAGAAGGACAGCTCAAGGTTCTCTCAGAAAATCTCCAGCCCTTGCAAAACTTTGTAAATTAACTGAATTATATGCTTAGAAAATTAAACAAGATTTGGAAAGAAATTATCCCATTCACTCCTTCCGTGCATGCCCTATTTCATCTTTTACTCTCAAGAAATCATATTCTGAGACACCCATTTGGTCAGTGCTCCAGCGTAACCCGCCCAGAGAGCTAAAGTGGCTTTTTCTCTAGGCAGCAACAAGGGAAGGTTGGCAGCCCTTACATATCTGGAGGGCTCCTCTCGGTTCTGGTCATTCATGTGTGCAGGAACAATCCGAGTGGCCAGTGGTCCCTCTGCAAAAGGCTTTGGTAGCTGACCTCTGAACTCTGATGGAATGAACTGAAGTTGCCAGCTGTCAGAAACACAGATGAGAAGAATGAGAAAAACACAAAGAGATCATATTGCTAAATAGACTTGAAACAAACAACCCTTCACCCCAGATCACCAGGAACAAAACACGATTTCTGCTAAAACTTCACCAGGGAGCTGAGGCAGAGGTCACAAGTTGGTCTGAAATCATCAAGAAATTTACAACTAAAGGTTTCCCCATCCTTTTACTCAAGTCTCGGCTTCGAAACTTGCAACTTGACAGTCAACCACAGAACAAGGAGTGTCAACATGTTACTACCTCCCACATGAATTAAAGAATTAAAGCCAACTCACCAGATGTACAGAAAAAGATGGCAAATGCACTAACACTAGGAGAATACTATTTTGGTCTGAATAATCCTCATACTAAAGGCAAAGGCCTAGGCCAACATTTAAAAGACAAGTTTATGACCGAACATCTTCATTATGTAACAAACAAACAAACAAAAAAAAAAAACCAGCTGCATTACCAGGTGAGGAGCTGGCGAAGTCAGCAACATTAATTACTCATCTTAGCCAGACTTCTTTCTCTCTGAAAACAGACCAAATAAGAAAACACAGAAGTCCAGGGTTGTACGCTACCACATCTACCAGAGTATAAAGGGAGTCAGAACACCTCGATCATAGTTATCCCTACTCCTATAAATCAGTGTGGAAATTTATTGTTGAAGGGAAAAAAACTTTCTAAATCCATTCTTCTTGCCGGGGTCTCTACACCACTGTTAGTGTTTTAGTGTCAACTGCAGGATGATAAATACGTGCCCTCAAAAAGGGGCCTGGATAATGTGCTTGCTATGCAAGCAGGAGGACCTGCGTTTGGAACACCAACAGCCAAATAAAAGCTGCAATCCCAGCACAGCACCGAGGAGACACACAGGAAGATTCTGGAGGGCTTGCTAGTTGAAACCCTAAGCTCTCGGTATAGCAAGGAGAGAGACACTGTCTCAAGAAATAAAGTGGAGGTAGGCATGGTGGCATACATCTTTAATCCCAGGACTCAGAGGCAGAAGCAGGTGGATCTCTGTGAGTTAGAGGCCAGCCTGGTCTATGTAGCAAGTTCCAGGCCAGTCAGGGCTACACAGTGAGACGTTGGCTCAAAAGCAAAAATAAGTAAACAAATAATGCAAAGAGCAGTAGAAGATGATACACGGTATCAGCTCTACCCAGGACATGCAAGAGTATGAGCACACAGACATTCACACACACATACAAGTTGCCAGCCAAGCCTAAGGACACACCTGTGACTAGGAGAAGGGAAAAGCACATGACTTAGAACACCCGCTCATGAAAAAAGAGGCAGGCACACAATGCAGATTCTGCAGCACTCTAAGAAGATAAATGAGTCAGTAATTCCTGTAAAAACTCCAAAGAGGGTCAGAAGACTGTCCAGTTGGTGAGAATCTGAGGTCAAGTGAAAAAGCCAGGTGTGGTGGGGTGCACTTCTAATACCAGTGGTGGGGAGGCAGAAACAGGACGATCCCAGGGACTTGCTAGTTACCCAATCAGCCAGCCTAGCCTAACTGGTAAGTCCTGGGTCATGAGAGACCCTGTCACAAAAACCAGGGCAGACCCAAAGCTGACCTCTGACCTCCTCACACATTTACACATGGGTGCATGTGTCCCAAATATACACACATATACATACACTTCCAAAGAAAAAAATTAAGCCTTCCAAAACAAACAAACTCTAACACAATCTTGCCATAGAACTGCTACTTTCTGATGTAAATTTCTGGGAAATGGGGATAAAGAGATGGCTCAGAAGTTAAGAGCATTTGCTGTTACCCCATTGGGGCTTGCTGACTGCAATCCAGCTTAGTTGGGGTGGGGGGGAGGCAGCAAGCTCCAGGTACAGCAAGAGACTCTGCCTCAAAGAACAGGCAGAGAGTGAGAGAAGAGGACACTCTGCCCACCCCTGACATTTCTGAACACACACATGCACATACACAACCCCACATATACCCTCTACACATACAGAAATATTATAAATTAAAGGACAACTTACTTATCAGGCAGAAGGAAGCTACTGGGAAATCGATACCATTCTTTTCCCACACAAACATTCACAGGCCTGCCTTCTGGGACAGTGTGGATGGCTGGGTCTGTGGCAATTCGGTAAAATTCTGGATACAGATCAAGGGGCCCATGATATCCTAAAAGGGAAAAGAGTTCATGAAAGCATAAGATGAGGTTCTAGCTTTTAGTTATAATTCATTTTAATATCCCACTATAATCCACATGAAATTTCTAAGAGTGTGAAAACCCACAGCAGCTCAGTGGGAAGCCAGCTCTACCAGCACAGATGTCTCTCTTGGTGGGACAACCACCACAGGGGAGGCTTTATTTGCCAAATGTAACCTGCTTTCTTGTTCTTTGTATACTGTTTTACCCTCTAGATTTTCTATTCCTTGGGTATATTATACTATTATGACCCCAATAATAATTATTAGGAAATATTTAACCAGGAGAACTTAGTTCCAATTTGTATAACATATTTAGGTTTCATTACATTAGCAGCAAACATTAAAAATGGAAAAGGCTGAGATGGTTCAGCAGTTAAAAGCACTAGCTGCTCTTTCAGAGGTCCCTCCTTCATTTTCCAGCACCCACACAGCAGCTCACAATTGTCTGTAATTTCAGTTCTGGGGAATTCAATGCCCTCTTCAGGTCTCCACAAGCACTAGATACCCATGTAGTACCTATGCATTCAGACAAAACACCTATACACATAAAAAAATTTTTAAATTGAAAACGAGGGTCAGAAATCAATGCTATTGGAGGGGAAATGTGTAGTGACATGGTGATCTAGCAATCTCCTTTCAGTCCAGAGCCACACCCCACCCAGCATAAGCTAACCACACGCTACAAGTAAACACTAAGGTGAAGTTCTTTGTGAGTACGGGTTAAGACACTCCCAGTATGTCTACCTCTGAACAGAGCCACAGAGCGAGAGAATGACAAGAGCCCAAACAGGAAGACTGTTCCTAATGCAAGCCAGCTGGACGTCACAGTGTAATGTTCCAGGCGATATCGTTGAAACATAAAGTGGTAACATTTCTAGAAGAAAAGGCAACTGTATTGATAAACAAGATACATAGCATCACAGAAACAATATACATAGCCACACACCATCAGACACAATATACACAGCAGCACACCATCACAGACACAATATACACAGCCACACACATCACAGACACAACATACACAGCCACACGCCATCACAGACACAACATGCGCAGCCACACACCACCACAGACACACCATGAACAGCCACACACCATCACAGACACAACATGCGCAGCCACACACCATCACAGACACACATGCCACAACATGCGCAGCCACACACCATCACAGACACACATGCACAGCCACACACCATCACAGACACAACATACACAGCCACACGCCATCACAGACACAACATACACAGACACACACCATCACAGACACACATGCACAGCCACACACCATCACAGACACAACATACACAGCCACACACCATCACAGACACAACATACACAGCCACACACCATCACAGACACAATATACATAGACACACACCATCACAGACACAACATGCGCAGCCACACGCCATCACAGACACAATATACATAGACACACACCATCACAGAAACACTAGGATATAGAAGCATAACAAGGGGTGTGAGGAAAGATCTGAGCATGTGCAAACACTTGGTGTGGTACCCATTCCAAATTCAAAGACCAAAGTCAACTCTTCTAGCTCTGTCTGCAGGTTTGCTTAGCCAGCCAACTTTACAAGAATAAACTCTAGTGTCAAAAGAAAATAAAATGTATATTTTTGCTGGTGCGTGAGGTTCTAATGTTGTTTTTCTTTTTTGCTTCTCAAGACAGGCTGTTACTCTGCATTCCTCAGTAGCTTGCTACCTTCTTGCTTCTGTCCCTCAAGTATAGGACTACAGACGTAAGCCCCAACACTAATAACTTATCTTAAAATATCTGAATAAATCAGTATTTTAGATATGACAGCACTGACAACATTATGACAAAAGTTAAGATGATATGCAAGTTATAGGTGTCTTGGTGGAAGAGGAAATGCTTTCAGCAATCTCTAAACTATCTCACATAAAGTTATACTTTATAAATAAAGTTATCTTTTAAAACTATCACCCTGATGGACATGGTAGCACACACCATCAATCACAGAACTACAGAGGTAGAGGCAGATGGATCTCTGTGAATTCAAAGCTAATCTGGTCTACATACCAAGGCTACACAGTGAGACTCCCTATCTCAAACAAGTATATGTAATATATTATAAAAACCACATAATATATATTATATGTACTTACTAAATATAATATCACCCTAACATAGTCAAACCTTAAAACATTATGCCATGTTAAAGAGATCTTTCATAAAAGAACACATATTTTAAGATTTCACTCACATGGGATGCACAGAATAGAAAAATTGATATACAAAGGAGACAGTGACATTGTACTGTGGGTATACCATGACAAAGGGGTGGGGGTGCGAGGTAATGGGCATGGAGCTTTTGAGGTGATGAAAATGTCTTAAACTGGTGGCTGCAGACACCTGCAAATATGCCAAAGCCACTAAGTTATACACTTGAAAAAGCTGAACTCATAGTTTATGAGTTCTCACTTAATAAATCTGTTAAAAACAAAAACTATCACCTTATTTTTTTCTTTCCCTGACAACTGCAAATGGTAGCAAGATCATGAGAGGGTCCCAAACTGTTGAGGTCATAAAGTCATAAACACAGAGATAATCAAACAAATGTAAAATTAACTCTACCAGAGAACTGATCTGAACAAGCTTTAAATCAAGAGTACAAACTGCCCCATATTGCAAATTGTCTGATATAATGCCCAAATCCTGATCATGTCTGATTCTGATCTAATAATTGTAGAACACACATTCTGTTTAGTCTGTCCATGTGCCACCATTTGTGATGTCCTATATGATAAGCTAAAATGTATTAGTAAATGGATCCTGTCGACAGGAGACAAATGAACATTATAAACACAATCAATAGCAAATAGAGTGAAATATATCCTTATCAATACACAGAGCTTTCAGGATATGTTCCGCAGCAGGTTTCATGTTATGGATAGAGGTGCACTCTGTAATTTATCCATAAGGGTCTTTGTTGTTGCTGCTGCTGAGATAGGGTCGCACTGAGCAGTTCTGGCTAGCCTGGAGCACACTATGGAGACCGGCTGGCCTGCAACTCACAGACATCCACCTGCCCTCAAAGTTTCCCAAGCAATCGTGTCAGAAATGAATCAAGAAGAGGCAGACAAATGTTTCCGAGAAACTCACCTGAAGTGCAGAAAGAGCAACAGCGCCACAAAGACATATAAGTGGATATACTGGGAAAAGAAATCGTTCCTCTTTGTGAGGTTGGATGAAGAAAATTAGAAACCAAATATACATTGGTGCCAAAGTAAGCCAATATGGATGTCCTAAATTCTGAACTGCAAGACAAAATAACATCCTCCTGTCATCATGTGAGAACCAAACAGTGTATTTTGTTTCAAAGTCTTTTTTTTTAATTTAAATTTGATACTAGGACGACATCCCATTAAAATGTTTCAACTTAGGAATTTACCCTCATTCTAACATAAGGAACATACTCCTGGGTTTTTCCAAGAGACCCAAAGCTTAGAGGGAGGAACAACAGTTAAAACACAGGGGAAGTACAGTTAATGGATAACACAGCTTAATAAACTCTAGGTGGTGAAAGATAAAAAGCATATTCTCTGTATGGGTTCTGCCACTAAGACCAAAGATTCCCCAAATTAACCAAATCCACTTTGAGTAATCCTTTTATCCACACACCAGTGGGTTTGTTAAAACAGCATGGATGAAAGAAAGAAAAAAATCAGTTAAATTCTTGAACCCTATTCATCAAGCCCCAACCCAGTCTGCCTTGTTTTGTTCTGTTGTCCAAACTTGACCCAAATGCCTCATTCTCTGGAGTGCTAGGATTACAGGAGTGTCACCAAGACCAATGACAATGCTTCAAAGCAAACACAAAATACTCTAAAAGGAAGTTTTCTGTCTTTACAATCCACATCTACTCTGAATCACAAAACTGAAACCAACATGTACTTAAAAGACTCTCAAAATAATAAAAGGAGCATAGAGAACACTGTGCCCCAAGCACATGCTGGAGAATTCCTGACATTACAAGAGCCTTGAAAAAAGGCATCCATGCTAGGTTGGCATTACTGATAATGAGGGAGGCATCTACAAAATGCGGGCAAGAGGTGGGCAGACAGCACCCCCTGGTGTTCATTATGTCCACAGCGTGACAGTCAAGAGCCCTCCCAGCTGTCTGGTTTAGTAACCATTGGTGCAACTATAGAACTCTCTGGAGGTAAACACTCCTGACCTTGGGCCAGTGAGATGGCTCAGTGGGTAATGCGATTTACCCTGCCATATAAACTTGACAACCTGAGTTCAATCCCAAGATTCCACAACAGAGAGCAAGAACTGCCTCCCAAAGGTTGTCCTCTGGCCTCCATAATATATTCTCCCTGCCCCCTCCAATCATTTTCCAAATCTTTCTAAATGAGTGAAGATCCCCTCACTGTCCAGACAGCACATGCTATATAAACCATTAACAAGAAAAGTTGAGCAGGTGAGAAGGGAAGATCATTCATCTGGCACGAAAAACCAACTAAGATGTCTCGAGCTAAACCTTCCCAAAGCTCTCATGAATTTCTGCTCAAATTTGTCTTCCATAGTGCAGATACCAGAAACCCAGGTCCACCGCTCGAGAAAGCAGCGGCTGTATGACACACAGTCAGAGTAAGGTGAGTGCCACACAGCACAGGAAGCCGGGAGCATTGGCCCCTGGCAAGCTGCTTCAGTTCCAGCTTCAGAATGTTTGCCTGCAGCACAGATCATGGTAAACAATCATCCAAGACGCTTGCCTCTACAAGGGGAATGGTTCAAACAGGCTGATCTCCTGTACTTTCCCCAAATGTCTCTGCTTCCCTGGTCATGGTAAAATCACACTGACCTCCTTCCCTTAAGGCAGTGATTCTTAACCTTACTAATGCTGACCCTTTAATACAGCTCCTCATGTTGTGGTGACCCCCAAACATAAAGGTATTTCATTGCTATTTCATAACTGTAAATTTGCTACTGTTATGAATCATAATGTAAATATAGATTATGCAACCCCAAGAGCTATGACTCACAAGTTGAGAACTGCTGCCTTAAGATGGCACAAAGCTTCATCTTGTTCAATTCGAACAATTAACCAAATAATCTACAAATGCAAACTAAAATCTCAGTTATTCGACCATTTTCACAGAGAAAGTGGAGACTAAAAGAAGCCATTTTCCACTTGGTGTTTAACCTGTCACCTGCTTTCTCCTCCTCCAACCACTCACCATGGAACCTCTGCAGCAGGTACTCCATAAGGAAAGTCAGTGGCAAGACCAGAAGAGCCAATGCAAAAGCAATGTTGAAATTCAGAAATCCATTGATTAAGTAGAAATACCATGGTTCTGTACCTGAGGGAGAAAGAGATAGGACGTCATTAGTGATGCCTTCAACGCCTGCCACAGTATTTGGCCCTTACTGCCTCCTGCTCTAGAAGCACTGGCAATTCAACACTCAACTAAATGAAAATCCACAAGCCTAGGCGTTCTTCAGTGCTCAGGCATATACAGGAGGCGCAAGAGCGGAACACAGGAAACGCAGACGGGTTGAGAAGCTCTGGATGAGAATTACTGGATTATTTTTTTATTTATTAAAGATTTCTGTCTCATCCCCACCACCGCCTCCCCTTTCCCTCCCCCTCCCCCAATCAAGTCCCCCTCCCTCGTCAGCCCAAAGAGCAATCAGGGTTCCCTGCCCTGTGGGAAGTCCTAGGACCACCCACCTCCATCCAGGTCTAGTAAGGTGAGCATTCAAACTGCCTAGGCTCCCACAAAACCAATATGTGCAGTAGGATCAAAAACCCATTGCCATTGTTCTTGAGGTCTCAGTAGTCCTCATTGTCCACTATGTTCAGCGAGACCGGTTTTAACCCAGGCTTTTTCAGACCCAGGCCAGCTGGCCTTGGTGAGTTCCCGATTATTTCACTTTATTCCTATCAGTAGGAATTTAGCCATCTTCTCCTCTACCACAGAAGATACAGAATTCCTTTCCTCTAGAGTTTAGTAACTTGGTGCCACTGCAGAAGCATAGGCCCAGCTCTCACTAAGCACTCAACCTGCAAGAGCTTTTATACTGGACTCCTAACCTCCAGCAGAAACACATTTCTGTGCTTCACAAATTGCCCAGTCTTAATATTCTGTTAAGGCAGCACCAACAAACCCAAATGAGAGAAACGCTTTAACTAGTAGCTAAAGAGCACAGAGCACATGAAACTAAAACATCTTAAGACATCATTTGAATTTAACTGTAGTTTCAATACTCTGAAGACTAAGTAACAGATAAACTTGCTTATAGCTATGTATCCCCTTGAAAAGTTCAACTCCTATTTTACAGTCACACATATAGGGTTCCATGTGTTTCATAAAAAGCAATAACTCAGGGTTAGGGTTAGTGATATAGCTGAGTAGTAGGGTACCTAACTAGCATGCATGAAGCCCTGGGCTCAGTCCTCAGTAGAACCAGAAACACACATACATACATACACATACATACACATGTGTGTATGTGTATATATGTATATATATGTACATATTTAATTTAAAAAACAGCGTGGCTTTTTTGTGTTTTTTTTTAATGTGTATGTGAGGGTGGGTGCCCGCAAAGGCCAAAAGAGGGCATCAGATCCTCTAGAGCAATGGTTTTCAACCTAGAGATTGAACGACCTTTTCACAGGGGTTAGACACCAAATATCCTGCATATCAGATATTTACATTACAATTCATAGCAGTAGCAAAATTACAGTTATGAAAGAATGACATATTTCAATGAAAATAACGGTTAGGGGTCACCACGACACGAGGAGCTGTATTAAAGGGTCGCAGCATTAGGAAGGTGGAGAACCACAGCTGCAGAGCTATGGCTACAGGTGGTTGTAAGCTGCCTGACACAGTACCAGGAACCAAACTTGGGTCCTCTACAAGGACAGCAGACACCTTAACCACTGAGCCACCTCTCCAGCCTCCTCAGCTCCTGTCCCCATTATGACCAGAGACCCAGGTCCTGCTCAGAACTCAAAGGATTCGGAAGGAAGCAAAACAGCTGAAATGCAAGTCTCACGATGGTTTTATTTCATAACTCAAGGTCCTTAAACCTGAAAGATAAGAAAGCTCCCCTCCCTCAACATTTAGCCGTTTTCTCATCTCTTTTTCCTCTGTGGGATTACTTCAATCAGGCAGTGAATGACACGTGCAGGTTTTAATCAGTGTGCCTTGTGACATCCGCCTTGCACCATAGCAATTTCCTGAAATCAGCATTGCTTAAAAGGATAATCAGGAGGCAGAGGTAGAAAAACCGGACTCTTTTGTAGCTTCACAGCAAAATAAGGTTAGAAACCAAAGTCATAATGCTAGAGACACTTAGAGGAGTAAGAGGGAAGTGGTCCGCGAAGGAAGGGCCCTCATTCAATCATGTGCCACCTCTGGGGAAAGCTCATTCCTATTCAAAGACAACTAAACTGTTAGGGGCAGAAGTCCTGTCCTGAGTCATTCATCTGAGACATCTCTAATCTTTCATTTCTTCCCATTTATTCTTTGAGTTGTAGAAAATTTCTGGATGGTTATACTTTTAAGATATAAAAATATCTTCTCTGGGTTTCAGTTAATGACTTCACAACATCAAAGCATCCACAATGCTGGTCCCTGAGACTGAGCCAACTGACAGCCAACAAGCATCTTAAAATAATTTACATGTATTATTCTTATTTGGTATCAAGAAAAATCCCAAGTCAGCACTCTATCAGGACCAACCAAAACAGTTCTAAGACCTGACAGCAACGAGGATCCTGACTGATTCTACAGAAATCAATCTTCTATTTCTTCTTGATGTTTTACTGTGAACCTACAATGTATAAGGAGTTCCAACTCAAAGCTATGATAGTATTCTCTCCTTGGGAGGCATCTAAACAAGGAGAAGCTAACACTCTTAAAGAACAGTAATCAGCTCAGTCCTTAGCTCCAAGAAAACAAATAAACAAACAAACTCTGAAAACCAAAAACTGAAATCAGACTTAAAACAATTATCACCAATTGTAGTGGCAAGATTTGCTGAAAGAGGTGGAGGCAGGAGGATCACAAGTTCAAGGTCAGTCTGGGCTACGAGTTCCAGCACAGCTAGAACTATACAGAAAAATACTGTCTTGAAAAACAGAACAAAAAATAATGTCAAGTTCAAATTCTGAGCAGAGTAGAATTTGTGTTCTTGGAATACTTCTATCAAGGAATTGTTAAGGCCAGCTACCTACAGCAATACACAATCACTTTCACGGCTGGTGAGATAATCCCTACTACTGACAGAGTAACCAGTATTCTACTTCCATGATAGCAAAACTATATTGAGTGAATTCAAAGCGGATTTACGAAGTGGCACAAAACCCTAGGACTCTTCTCAACAAACATTGTGTGAAATGAACTGCAGACACCAGAGTCCAAGAAGAGACTGGACACAGGTCTACTGTAGTCCCAAATCTACCGCAGCCTCCTTGACCAACCCACTACTAAACGGGAACATCAGGCCTTTCTTCTCCACTTCCCCACTAGCCCAATCATCTCCAGAGCCTCTAAAGGGCTACAAAAATGCATCACTTTCATATTTTCTTTAGAGTTTAATAAGCAGTCAGACTACCCAGCATATAATGACCCACTTATGAAAGTGAGAAGCCAGTTTTTCAAATTAACCCATTCACCAATAAAGAATGGATAAATTTCTAATTGGGGACATGTAAATCAATTTTCACCACACAGTCTGGGTGTAGTCAAATAAAATCGTATAAATAAACCAAACTAAGGGGCAATTTAAAACATGTGAACTTTCCCTAGCTGAAGGGAGACATCTAGAGGCTGCCAGAGCAAGCTACTGGTTTAACTGGCCAGGCCGCCCAACAAACACTAATCATAGGAGCTGACCTGAGACACAGATGTAATATCAACCTGACTCCCAACCAACCCAAGGCAGTCAAATGCAGAGAATGCTCTGGAGACACCTAGAAGATTGATAAAGAAACCACACTGATTCCAAGGGGGAAATTTGCTCATGAAGTATTTAGTGGCTTGGTTGCTCTAGAAAAGCCTCTAACAACTTTCGGTAACTAGCCAGCCCAAATGCATTCAGGAGTCAAATAAAACTAGACTTGGGAGGGGTGGGTAAGAGACAGAGGTTCTCGGGTACACCTGGAGACTACATCACAGAGGCACAACAGGCAATCACTTTCTCTCAATCTTAAACAGGCCAGTCTGCTCATTCTCTCCTGCTGACGCGAGTCTCCTCTGCTCACTTTGCAGATTTTCCAAACTTTCTCTCCCCCCCAAAAAAAACTAACATCAAATGTATATGTATAGAAAACGTATGTAGGAATATACTCCTAAAAGTTAATACTACTACATGGAGATGACGGAGCTATTTGTTTGTTTTCTTTTTGTTATTATATTCATTTTATGATAATAGAAATTTGGTTGTTGTTGTTGATTTGTATTTGGTCTTTGTTTTTTTGTTTTTTGAGATGCGGTTTCTTTGTATAAAAAACACAGCCCTGCTGTTCTGGAACTCACTTTGCAGACCAGGTTGACCTCTAACTCACAGAGATCCCCCAGCCTCTGCCTCCTGAGTGCTGGGATTGAAGGTGTGTGCCACCACACCCAGCTGCTGTTTTTTAAGATAGGGGTCTTATGTAGCCCAAGCTAGCCTCAAACTTGCTATGTAGCTAGCTGTGAACTGCTACTCCTGCCTCTGCCTCCCCAGTACTGAAATTACAGGCATGTACCACCACAACCATCTCAAAAGTAGTTAGATTAAAAAATTTAAAAAGCGTCAAAGCCATGACCAGGCATGGATGGTCAACCCTACAATTGTGTCACTTGGGAGGCGGAGTCAGAAGGACTGCTACAAGTTTAAGACTAGTTTTGGCTACACAGTGACACCACGCATAGCCAACACTCCTTCAAGCTCCCTGAGTCTAGATCTGGGGATAACGTTCAGCAGCATCGAGGGAGGGTCAGCGCTGACTACCGCACCTGTCAGGAGACATGGGCTATGTTTTCATTACACTGCAGTCAAAAGCTCTGTGTTTTCTACTTTTTCCTCAAATTTTCTGAAGGCTTACCATAAAGATCAGGTCCATGAGAAGTGAACACATTATACAGGACAATGTTGAGAGGAGCAACCACCAACTTCCCATAATAGTAGCTGTCAATGACCACCACAGGCACCTAAAGTGAATGAAAAAACAGCATTGGTACTTTTCAAAATGCTGATGGAAAAACTTCAGAATGAAAAGTAAAATGAGCTCCTGATGTTTCCTTTGCCACATCAGAAGCTACTTCAAACATGAGAGCAAACGCAGAAAACAGGACTCACCAGGAAGAGAACTAGCGCCACCAGCGACCAGTGAAGGAAACTCTTCCACCTGTGTTTCAGGGCCAGCGAGTCAAAGGCGATGGGTAAACTATTCAACAGAAACACAGGAAGATGTTGGTAAAGCACCAAACACTTGGGACAGAGTCACACAGGTCTATGCTGAGCAGAGAACCAAACGGCTTTCCCAGGGGCAGAGAAGAAAGGAAGCTGGTATGTGACAAGACGTCTTCTCAAAAATAAGCTGGTCTTTCTGAGGACTCATCAGGAGAGGTATGCCACAGATGGACAAGAAACAGACAGATGCTGCTGGACCATCGTGACACTGATCTATACGTATTGAACATGTAAGACATATTCAGTATACATTCATGGACATCATTATCCTACACCGACCTGACAAATACTGACCTCTCCCTTCTGAAATTAACTAGGACTTTATTATATATTTCTAACTTGTAAATAAATAATTTCTCATGTGTGTAGGTCTGCAGGTACACATGCCATGGTGTATGTGGAGGTCAGAAAATAACCCTGAGGAATCAGTTTTGTCCCCTTCACACTTATGTGGACTCCAGGGATCAAACTCAGATTTGTACAGCAAGTGACTTGACTGCTGAGCCAACTCTCCCTCAGTGGCTCTCCACTGCATTTTTGAGAGAGAGGGTCCACCACTGACCCTGGAGCTTATCAATTCAGCGAGGCCAGCTGGCCAGTGAGCTCCAGAAACTCCTCAGTCTCCATCCTAGCCCTGGGATTTCAGAAGCACCATACCTGCCTTTTAAGTGGGTGCTCTGCACGGCAAGCACTTTACTAAGTCATCTCCCCAGTCTCCAAAAACCCTTTTACCTCATTAAATCTGCTCTCTGGTTGCTTGTTGCTGTGGTGAGGTCCTATACATTCCAGGCAAACATTTTACTACTGAGCTATATCCTATAGGTACTTTTTAAAAATATGGAATATTATATTTAAAATGTTAATAACAACTATTAAGATGTATTTTTAAATTATGTATATAATATGTGAGTGCTGGTGCCTGCAAAGTCCAGAAGAGGGTACCAGATTCCCTGGAACTGCAGTTACAGGCAGTTGTGAACCACCCAGTATGGATGCTGGGAACCAAATTCCAGTTTTCTCCAAGAGCAGAATGCGCTCTTAACCAATGAGCCATTCCTCTAGTATAGTCGAGAAGTTAAGGTAGACAAACGGAGAAAGAAGTAGTAGAAACAAAGAGTACGGAAGGAAGTGGAAACACACTTAAACTTGGGGAAGGAGCTGGCGCAAGAAAGGAGAAGGGATGCAGGGGAAATTGCTTAGTGATTAACAGCATGGGCTGCCCTTTTCTAGCCTGCAGGAACATAGACAGGCACACACCCCATGCACATTTTTTTTTTCAAGAAAAGAGAAGGAGAAAAGAGAGCATTGCAATCCGGGTGACAAGGAAAATGCACAGCACGGACTGCAGCAGTGTGAGAAACATCAGGAAGCTTTAGAGGACAGAGGAAAGGGGTCAGCAGGAGAGGGAGTGGGACAAGAGACAGTAACACGGCTGAGGAAAATGGCTGAAATACAATCCATACATGTATGACGATGTCACAGTGAAACCTGGTATGTATAATTAATATATGCTAGTAAAAGCATTTTTTAAAAAGCAAGCATAATGTTAATGGCAAATTATTTCAAATCTTACTACCTATGTTCTCACTTATAAAAATACTAATTATTGTCAGGAAGTGGTGTCACACACCTTTGATCCCAGCACTCACGAGGCAGAGGCAGGTGGATCTCTGTAAATTCAAGTCCAGCCTGGTCTACAGAGCTAATTCCAAGACAACCAAGGCTACACAAAGAAACCCTGTCTCAAAAATCCAACCCACTCAAAACTACTAATTATTATAGCTTCTTGCAGAATTGTAAAATTTAAAAATAAAAATTGTGAAGGGTTTGGTAATGCTAGCAATGGCAGCATTCAGCAGGAGCTTAGCAGTCATTACTCTCATTGGAATAAAACACAAAAAGAAGCAGTAATATGCTTTTGTTCCCAAAGTCTTCACCAGTCAAATCAATTCCTTTAGCTTTCGTTGCTGGCTGGGAAATCTGCATCTGATACAACATCAGGATTGACCAGATGCCCAGGGTATACAGGAGAGGAATAACTTAAGTTTCTTACCCAAGGGCTGCACTAAATGGCCACCCTACAATAGCCCCGGCTGCTACTCCCAGCACAGCAATGGGTGTCTTGTCCATATACCATCCGGTCATGGCGATCAATGTAGTGTACATGCAGAAGCTGCTAGGAAGGAATGCTACAAGAGCAAAGAGAAAAGGGAACAAGAGAATGAGATTAGATATTGATTTTAAAAATTCACCTGCACTGCAAAATGAATCTACTTTGGAAAACACTATTATAAACAAGCACTAAGGTTGGAGACATGGCTCAGCTGACAGAGTGCTTGCCTATAATGCACAAAGCCTGGGGTTCAATTTCTAGACCACAATTGGACATCGTGGCACATGCCTACAGTCCCAGCCCTCAGGAGGTAGTAGCAAGAAAATCAGAAGTTCAAGGGCATCCCCAGCTGTGCAGCAAGTTTGAGGCCACATAAGACCCTGTCTTGGACCGTGAGACCCTGGGTAGAAAGAAATACACACAGAAAGGGAGGAAGTGAAGGAAACAAACAGGTAGTCAAAGGACATCCCTTTTCAAAACACAAAAGGCACTGTGGTTTTTATCTCCTCAGACCTTTTTTCCAAGTACACAAGGCCCCAAGTTACACAATACTAGCCATCCATTCCTCTCCTGGCCTGTACCTACATTTAAAGCTTAAACAAATCCAGGACTCTCCACCTTTGTTGCCACACAGAGAATATGATTCAAAAGACCCAGACCCATTGTGGACGATGTATTGGTTTCTTCTGCTAAGATATCCTGGTTCACACTTGTTCTCTACAGGGATTCTAGGAAGCCTCCTCAAGGCTCAGAGCTACATTCTGGCTTTGGCATAGCCCTTAACCATTACATCTGCCATAACTTTGTCATGGTGTACAAGAGTCTGAACACACTCAAGGCTCTTGCAACAGCAGCAAAATATTCCTAACAACTAAACAAAAATGTGGCTTCTCGTGCTTTATAAGGCCTGAAGCAAAAAAAATCAGCTGATTCTAACAAGAACTACAATGAATATGCAGTGAGATTTAGGACACTCAGCAAGGGCCCACTTCAAAGGCTAGGCAGTAAAGACTGAATTCCTAAGTGCCTCAACTACACTGCAAAACTAAGGGACCGCCCCACACATACAAATCTGTTTCTGGATTAGCAAAGTAACTAAAACATAGAACATGTGAGATGCAACTTTCACAGACAGATGTTAAATAATATTGAAGTCAACTCTGGCTGCCAGTGCAGAGTACAAAAGAGCAGAGAAATCTGAGGTCTCTGCTGATGCTGATGAAGCATTTACGGCACATTCACTACAGTGGCTCTCCAAGCTGGTCCAGGGTGGAGCCCGGAGGTCCCTGCAGAACATTCATTTCCATATAGTCAATGAAGAAAATGCTAACCATGAACTCTGTGCAAGGTGCTATTTTGTGTATTTAGTGTACCTACTAGATTCTTGATTATATAAGCATTAACGAAAATTGAGATAATTTAGCAGGATATTTTTTCTGGAGAATTGGGAACCACCTATCTTTTGAGCAGGCTGCCTTAGCTCAGTCCACAGAATATAGGCGTTCAAAGGCAACACAGCTGGAAAGCTACAAGTCCTACTTAGAACCTTTATTCTAAGTGTCCAGAAGCTAACTATAAAATAAATGCCCAAGGGATACAACCTCTATAGAATACATCTCAAATAACAGGCAGAAAAAAGAGCCATCATTCAAAAATACTCTCCTCCCCCAGTGGCCATTAGGAAGAAGGAACAGAAACTCTCCAGTGAAACTGCCGGGTCTACTTCTCATGAATCTGTGCAGGTCACACAAGTGCCCTGCCAAGCATTTGTCTACATAACCTTGCTGGCCGAGTGCTTTCCTCAAAGGCAACTGCATAGGAAGGTGAACCTGTGACCCACACCTGCCCTCCTACTTACCGGAGGATGAACAAAACATGCCGGTGCTGAGCACCAAGAAGGCCAGCATCATTCGACTCACATGCAGCCCAAATTTCTTGCACACAGCCCTCAAAGAAAAGATAAAAACCATTAATATTGTGGCTACTAAGAGACAGATGTCACAAAGCAAAGAAGAAATGGAGGTGTGTTTGAGAAGTAACAATGAGGAGCTGAAGCCAAACACAGAGCTGTCTAGACTGTCAGCAACTTCATATGCATGAGAAACCCAAACTCTTCCTCCTGACACAGAAGAGCTCCTTAAGAGGAAACGTGTTTCAAAGTTGTTAGCAATTTCATGTGCATAAGAAACAGACTTCTTACTCTTGGCACAGAAGGTGTCTTCTTTAAGAAATGCTGCATATTTAGAATTATATCTACTATCAATAGGGAGATAGCATGATATAGTAAGAAATAGCAGGCCTCAGATTCAGGCAGGTGTTGACCGAGTTTTCTGTCCCGCCTGGTCTCACAGTTGTTCAGTCCCAAAGAAACACACAAAGATCTGCATTAATTATAAACTAGTTGGCCTAGTAGCTCAAGCTTCTTATTAATTAAGTCTTACATATTAAACTAGCCCATTATTCTTGTCTGTTAGCTTGGCACCTTTATCCTTGAGGCATTCTCATATTGCTTCCTCTGCGGCTGAGTCACGACTGCAGACTGAATCTTTCTCTTCCCAGAATTCTCATTGCCCCGCTTATACTTCCTGCCTGGCTACTGGCCAATCAGCATTTATTTAAAATACAAGTGACAGGGTACAGACCATTGTCCCACAGCCGGCAGGTTCAAATTCTGACAAGCAGTGGCTAATTTGATAATCTGCCATTTTCCACATCTGTAAGAGGAGGATAGCAACCATGCCTACATAAAGTTTCTGTTAGGGTTAATTTCGGGAAAATGCTTAGTCAAGTGCCTAGCACAGAGCTGTCCAGCAAAGGCTGTTCTCAACACAGATGATATAAAAGCAGAGAAGGATGCCTTGTGGGATGGCACATGCCTTTATTCCCAGCGCTTGGGAAGCAGAGGCAGGTGGATCTCTGAGTTCGAGGCCAGCCTGCTCTACAGAGTGAGTTCTAGGACAGCCAGGGCCACACAGAGAAATCGTGTTTCAAAAAATAAAAACAAAAGCAGAGAGATAATACAAGAGTTAAAGGTTTTAGCAGTGACTGGGCATAGGAATGAAGAAGAGAGGCAGATTAATCAGAACGAGAATGTATGGATGCCTACTGGTTTACAAGCTAATCAAAATGTCTTTATTTAAAATAAAAAATAAGGTTTCAACAGAGTAGATAACGTTGTTACCAGATGACATGGATTATTAAAGGAAAATATCAGCACCAGGCACAGGACTGTTCCCTATGAGTTACTGGTCAAGGAGGTCCCAGAGGTTCCCAAAACAACCCAAGCTATTTCCAGAGATCACTTTTCCATCACAGTTAGCTCACATCCTATATACTGAAGGTACCATATACTTTGTTTGCAGGACAGAGAGAAAACTAAACTAGAACTAACCTGAAACTGTCTCCCGATGACTAGCATTCATAGTGCTAGAAGGTTCTCTGGACAACTGAAGGAGAAGTCATTAATGGCCTTCTCCAGCAGTGGACCCTATGTGCTGCAATACAAACCTGCCAGGCAAGATGTGCCCACAGGTGCAACAGTGACAAAACTGCTAAGGGTACCAGCTGCTTTCTGACTGGACCTGAGTCCTCCTTCACGGGAGGACTTCATGCCTGATACTGTAAACCTGGCTCAAAGCCCACTGCTGGGGAAGCTCAGAGGTTGTTGTGGGTAAGCTACTCGTTTGGTTTTGCTAAATGGACGTGTTGTCGAGTGCCTTCTGGGCTGGAGAGATTATCCAATGGTTAAGAGCACTGGCTGCTCTTCCACAAGACCAGCTTTCAATTACCAGCACCCACATGGTGGCTTACAACCATCTGCCACTCCAGTTCCTAAGGACCTGGCACCCTCTTTTGGCCTCTCAGGGCACCAGGCACATACAAAGTGCACACGCATACATGCAATCAAAATACCTATACATATTAATTCAAAAAACCTTCCTAAACATTTGTTTATAACCACAGATTAGTACTGTAGTCAGCCTTGGGCAGAGAAGCCTCTATTTACAGTGTCGGGGTTAATGGAGAGCCCAGGTGATGAGAGTAAGCGACTACTGATGCTCGGCTCTAAAAGGACAGCTATATAAAACCACCACCAGCAGCAGCAGCAGCAGCAGCAAGCTTAAGGAATATTACTGAAGAGTGGAGGGAAAGGATGTAAAAGCCAGAGGATGGGAGGGGTGCTATGAAACCTGTCTTCTGGACATGACCATGCCACGCACAGCAAGCTGTGGTGACTGGAACAACATTCTAGCATGAACGAGGGAGGGGTTCATGAGGCCCTAGCCACAGCTGAGGACCTATTCATATGGATGGCTACTAGCGGGGGAGTCATTTCTCTTGGGGATGTAGCTGGTAGGTGGTCCATGTTCTAGACGATTGTTCCACAGCCATATGCAAGTGTGCAGCACTTACTGAACTCAATGGGAGGTTTTTGTTGTTGTTGTGTTTTTTGTTTTGTTTTGTTTTGTTTTTTTGAGACAAAGTAGGCCTGACTTTGCAGACCAAACTGGCCTTGGCCTCGAACTTAGAGATCCACCTGCCTCTGCCTCCTGAGTGCAGGGATTAGAGAGAGCCATCATTGCCTGGCTCAGGGGGTTATTTAAAAAAAAAAAAGACATGAAGATAAAAGGGGGATTTAATTACAGGCAGATACTAGAGGAAATGGTAGGGCAGAATTAGAGTGGATATGCTCGAGAAATACTATATACATGCATGAAAGTGTCAAAGAATAAACTTTAAATATCTTAAAAACATAAATAAATGTTAATTCTCAGGGGAAAAAAAGACTAGAAAATAACACAAAAAGCCACGTAATTTACCCATGTCAATGTTTTTGTCCTTCTACAAAATTGGGATTATTTTGTTTTTTTCCAATTCCACAAATTAATGTCTTTTAGGTGTTGCTATTAAATTTTTTTTCATTTTGTTTGTTTGTTTTTCAATACAGAACTTCTCTATGTGACAGCTCTGTCTGCCCTGGAACTCGCTCTGTAGGCCAGACTGGCCTCGAACTCATGCCTGCGTCTGCTTCCTGGATGCTAGATTGAAGGCGTGGACCCTCAGACCAGCACTGCTATTGACTTGATCAGTATTTGTCCATGTGTAAGCGTGGCTTTACTTGGGTTTATTTTATGTTTCTCTCCTGAAAGGGTTTTGATTCTTCCAAAGTACATCTTTTAGGAGTTCTTTCAGTAAGGACATATTAATAAAAATTTCTCTAATTTGTAGGTGGGTTTTCTTTGTGTGTGTGTGGTTTTTATTTTTGTTTTTTATCACAGACTTTCTATATGTAACAGCCCTGGATGTCCTAAAACTCGATTTGTAGACAAGGCTGACCTTGAACACACAAAGATTCTCCTGGTGTGTGCCACCACCACCCGGCTGGCTTTTCTTTCTTTTCTTTTTAACTGGAAATCTGTACTTAGCTCTTGATCTTAAATGTTAGTTCACTTTTGCATGGCTGGCATTTGCCTGGGCATTCTTTATTTTGTTCTGCTGGGGATGACCCCAGGGCCCTGAGAGTATTCAAGCACTCCACCCCCCAGCCCACAGCCTGCTCTCTCGGAACTATGAAGGAAGGGCTTCAGTCTCTGGTCCTGCTCTCGCTGCCACTGGTCTCGCTGCTCAATGCGCCCTTACAGGGACTCCATGAACTCCTCGTCCAGTTTTAAGATCGGTTCTTTATCTCTGGTGTTTTACACAATTTCACTAAATTCTTTTTATATTCCTGGATTAAGATGCATGATTTACTAAATTTATGGATTATCAACCTTTTCCACTAGCTCGAAAAAAGTGTGTGCTACACTTCCCTTGAATGATGTCTCCTCTTGTTCCCTGTATCAGAGCTAGAAACCTTACACATTAACTTCCTCTCTATTCCTTTTTTATCTAACTTTATTCCCAGCAATTTCTTCAAATTTATCTTTCATTTTACTACTTTGCTTACTAGCAGTCTTAATCTGTCTAGACTATCTACTGAGTCTTAAATATCAAATTATATGAATGATGTTACACACATATATGTTTATATGTGCATATATATAAAGTCAACATAAAATAACTACATTTTTGTTTCTATACGTTCTTACTATTTTTCACACCGGCCTGGTCATTTCTGGAGGTTCTTGTTTCTCTTCATGTTTTCAGTTCTCTCTTTCACTTCTCTACACACAGAAAATACTGTTTTCATTTTAATAATTCCTAATAAATGAAGATTTACAGGCCAACTTTTTGTTGTTGTTGTTGTTTTTGTTTTTTCGAGACAGGGTTTCTCTGTGGTTTTTTTTGGAGCCTGTCCTGGAACTAGCTCTTGTAGACCAGGCTGGTCTCGAACTCACAGAGATCCGCCTGCCTCTGCCTCCCAAGTGCTGGGATTAAAGGCGTGCGCCACCACCGCCCGGCTCAGGCTAACTTTTTGATGACTGCAATTTCTGCTAGCTCTTCAACTCTTGTCTCTTTTTGTGACTTCCCTGATCTGTGTGGTACTTTGGTGTGACTTCTTTATTCTGTTTCTCACGCCCTCCCAGGAACTAAACCCAGACCCTGTGCACATGAGGCACGCACTCTGCCGCAAAGCCTCTTTGCAGCCTGACTTCATCACCCTTTCTTGTGTATTAGGACTACAGTCCTAACATAGTCCTGGTGATTTCCTGACATCTGGGTTAAGAGTCCAGTTCTCTAGGGAAATTTTTTATGTGATGCATGGGACCTCTACTAATCTAGGACAATTCACCATAAATCTCCATCATGGGTCTTAGGAGATGAGATGGTTGATTTGAATTCAGGCCCAAATCCACATGAAAACCAACTTATAGCTACAATCCCCAGAGGGAGTACTGGTTTTATTTTTACCTCTAATCTTGTCAGAGTCAAGGACAAAAATCAATTTTAATCTGGCACATCTAGCTATGGGAAAACTTTTAATAATGATCCTTAAGTCTGAGTACTTTCTTTTAATGTGTTAAGGCACTATTAAATTTAATGGGTTTTATGTGTTACATTTTTTAAAGGCAGCTATTTTATTGCTAGAATACTTAAATGCATAATGGATTCATTAATATTCAATCAACTGAGAGCTACTTGGTGTGAGGCCATGTATTGAGTGCAAACGAGAGCAGAGTCTTACAACACTGGGAATAGTCTCCCATCGGCTCAGCTCTAGGGAAGAAGTGAATCAATCAATCCTTCACTTAGAACCAAAACTAAGGTTTCACTAAATCCTATGAAGATGAGCGAGACATGCACTGCAAATTAAAATCAGGGACATTCCAAGGGAACGGCAGCTGGAGGCACTGCTCCTCAATTCCTCTGCAGACAAGAAGTCGCTGAAGCTGTAGGACCAGAGGAGAGTACTCTCTGACAGCTGTCTGAGCTACAGCAGGGCCCCTGGCGCTTTTGGATGTAAAGCTTTGATACTTACTTATAAAAGTAAAGTTCACAAATACAGCTCACAAAAGCCAGGAGACATCTCAAAAAGTAGAAGACAAGAATCTGAAAGAAAGCCAGAGTGAGAAAACAGAAGTCAGCAACAGGAGCCTAGTCGCTTGTAAGGACGATGTCCTCACTTGTCAGTAAACTGTACTATAAACTGGTACAATGCTTCTGAGGAGAACCACACAAATTTTCATATCCCCAGACTCACTGCACCCACTTCTTTACTGTAGGAGGGGTGGGAGCCTCCATTCATAAAGGCATCTATTGTAAAAACTACCAAATATCCAAAGATGCAGGCATACATCTGATCATGCTACTACATCTATTTCGGAGAGTATAAACACCTGGGGTTGCAAAGATGAAACCTGTGATACCTTGCTCATTTGTTGCTCACTCAACAAGTCCTCTCCTCCCTTACTCTCCCCATTTTTACTCCCTAAGATTGATTTAATTATTATACAGTGTTCTGCCTGCATGTTTGGCTGCAGGCCAGAAGAGGGCACCAGATCTCATGACAGATAGTTGTGAGGAGACACCATGCATTTACTGGGAATTGAACTCAGACCTCTGGAAGAGCATCCAGTCCTCTTAACGGCTGAGCCATCTCTCCAGCTCCTCCTCTCCCCTTTTAAGGGTCTTACACTGTAGCTCAGGCTATCCTGAAACTCACTATGAATCTCAGGATGACCTAAAACTTACAGCTATCCTCTTGCCTCAGCCTTCTGGATGCTGGACTGCACATATGAGCCACCTCACCTGGTTGAGAAGCACTTGTTCAACAGCCATAAAAATTTAAATACTGATTATTTACAAAATACATCAGCATTACAGTTACAGAAACTATATGCATATGAAAGACTGGAAAGATATACAATGGTAAGAGGAGACATGGCAGCCTACTGGGATTAAGGTGTTTAACTCCTATCTGTACATCTGTACTATGCATTAATCAAGTCTATATTTTTGTTTGTTTGTTTGTTTTTTGAGACAGGGTTTCTCTGTAGCTTTGGAGCCTGTCCTGGAACTCCCTTTGTAGACCAGGCTGGCCTCGAACTCACAGAGATCCACCTGCCTCTGCCTCCCGAGTGCTGGGATTAAAGGCGTGCGCCACCACCGCCTGGCTCCATTAATGGCATAAGCTTAATAAAACAGCAATAAGGGTTGTAATGACTAGCTCTTAAGATTTACTTATTTTTATTTTATGCACATGTGTGTTTTGCCTGCACGTATGTCTATGAGCTACTTCCAAGGAGATCAGAAGAGGGCATCAGACCCCTGAAGCTGCAGTTACAGATGGTTTCAACTACTATGTGGGTGCTGAGAAGTGAACGCAGGTCCTCTGAAAGAGCACCCAGCACTTTTGAAGCCACTGAGCCACCTTTCCAGCCCCTTGATTAGCTTTTAGACTACAGAGCATACAGAATCCTCACAACATAACTCTGCTTCCATACTCAGCAGAATAACTGCAAGTAGCCAGCATGGAAACACTGCCCACGCTTATCACTACAACCAACCAAATCCCCAAATGAGTTTTAGAAAGAGCCCATGAGAGTCAGATTCATTCATTAATAAGACACGAAAAGCCTATACCACACGATAAGCAACTGTACAGATGTCACAGGGACAGACAATTTGAGACGTGTCTATGATAAGGACTCCTCACACTATGGAGTATTTGAAAGTTAAAAAAGAAATGAGCTGGAGAGAGGGCACAGAGGTTAAGATCACATACTATTCTTTCAGAAGACCTGAGCTCAGTCCCAGCACCCATTTCACGTGACTCACAACCACCTATAACTCCAAGTCTAGATCTGGCACTTTCTTCTGGCCTGTAGACACCTGCGCTCTCGTGCACACACACAGACATATACTGTTCAGCAGCAGGACAAGGATGCCATCGGCTCCCCTATCAGCACTGTAACTGAAAGTCCCAGTCAGTGCAAAAGGAAACAGAAATGAGGCCCAAGGGGCAGAACGAGAGAAAGAAAGCGTATAGTTATGGTCTGTCCCTAAGCATTTGACTACTAGCAGCTTGGTCTCCAGGGCGGTGACATTAAGATAATGAACTTATAAGAAGCAGGTCCTGGTAGACAGCAAGGAGGTTTCTGCTCACTGAACAGATTACTACTCTCTCAGTAGGGGCAGGTCCTCGTGGGGCTGCATTAGCGCCCTTGAGAACGGGCTGCCACAGAGCGAGCATGCTGCCTCGCCTTTGCCTCAGATATACACCTACTTTCTTTCTGCTTCTCCTTCAAATGATATAGCCAGGGTACCCTTGCCAGAATGCTAACACTATATTATTTCAATTATCCGCTCACTATGTACATCAGGCTGGCTTCAAAACTCACTGAGATCCACCCACATCTGCCTCCCAAGTGCTGGGATTAAAGGCCTGTGCCGCTACCCCCAGCTGTCTGTTCCCTTTATGGCCTACCCAGCCTTGGGTACTTTACTATAGCAACATAAAATCGACAAGGACATAAACCCAAGTGAAAAACAATCCAGGAGATTCGGCTGACAAACCACTGGCATCAGCCTGGAAATTCACGGAGATATTCAGCATAAAGATCAAAATACAAACTCAATTACATTCCACCAGGATAAAAGGGGTGGGGTGAGGGGACAATGACAGAAGTCTCATAAGTGACAGGTAAAAAAGAAGCTAACAAGATAATGGGATAACTATTACTGTGGGATGAAGGAGGTCTTCATTTAGAAAGACCTAGGACCCTAAGGGAAGAACTGACTTGACTATATCACAGGTAAGGATTTCAGCCAAGAAGCTGGCACTTGAAACAAAATGAACCCACATCCAATGTCATGAAGGAACATGCATGTCTACAGACCAGAGGAAAAAGGAGGAAATCTAACAGCAGCTAGTTGAGGAGGCTCACATATTTTTTTTCTCCCATTCTTTCTTATTTTATTTTTTAAATAAATTTACTTATTTTACATCTCAGCCACAGTTTCCCCTCCTTTTTCTCCTCCCAGTCCTTCCCCCCCAATCCACTCCTCCTCTGTTTAGGAAAGCAAATAGACCTGGGCTGTATAAAAAGCAGGTTAGAAAGGTGTGGTGACACATACTTGAATCCTAGCACTGGGGAGGCAGAGGTAGTCGCATCTTTGCGAGTTCAAGGCCAGCCTAGCCTAAGGAAACAAAAAAGCCAAAGGGTTAAAGGCCAGGGAGCATGCCAGCAAGCAGCATTCCTCCGTGCTGATGTTTAAATCCTTGTTTGAGCTCCTGCTCTGACTTCCTTTGATGAAGACTGTGATCTGAAGCATAAGCCAAATAACCCCTTCCCGCCAAGTTGTTTTTAATCTGAATGCTCTTACCACACAACAGAGTGAACTGGAACACGAGCTGTTCACACCACGTATGTAAGGTAAGCGACAGAAGAGGATGAAGTCTGGAAACATCAAGTTCTGTGTGATAATGGAGCTCAGCTAGAAATGAAAATGTAGCACTGCAAGCTGCTGGTTCTCTACTGAGTCCTCCATCTTATTTTTCCTCTAACAAATTCAGAAGCACAAGAAAGCCTAAAAAGGCAGAAATGAGATACTTGGCAGGGAAGGAAGACAGTGTCCTGCCACTCTGTGCGCTGCCTCTCTGATCATTGTGAAATGCAACTGTAACCACGACTCTCCTCAAAAACTTTGCAACAAAAACACCACCAGTATCTTCTAACGGATCAGATCTTACACAAAGCTGGCCTCTTCTTATTTCTCAGTCTCATTTAATCCATCCCACCACTCTCCATAAATCAAACTAATTTATATGAGAAATAATCCTTAGCCCTTCAGTTACAAAGACTGCTTCCAGGGCTAGAGAGATGGCTCAGCAGTTAGGAGTACGTGTTGCTAGTCCAGAGAACTGGCGTTCCCGTCCATGTCAGGCAGCCGAGCCACCTGCAGCTACAACTACCAGGGTTCTGACACCTCTGGACTCCACAGGCACACACACTGTGGGACACGGCTCCACAGCTGAGAGAGCATGTTACACAAGCATGAAGAAGTGAACTCATGTGAAAGTCAGGCATGGATGGCCATGTGCTTTTGTAAGCTCAGCATCAGGAGACAGAGACAGGTGGCTCCTAGGACCTTACTGGCCATCTCCTAGGCAAAATGGAGAGTTTCAGGTTTAGTGAGAAGCCCTGTCTCAAGGGGATAAAGTGGAGAGCAATAGAGAAAGACAGCTGGTATCTCCTCTGGCCTCTGCGCTTGTGCACAGGCACATGTGCTTACACAGGCCCCTCAGATCTGCAGACACACACACACACCTACACACACACACCTATACACACACACTTACACACACACACACACACACATACTCCCAAATTTGGCAAAAAGCATAAGCCTAGATAGTCAAGTAACTGAGTAAACAAACAAACAAAAAAAAAACCCACACCAAAACATGTACTGTCAAAATTTTTAACCCTAAGCCAAGTCAGGCTGCAACTAACTCTTGAGCACCCTACTTAAATTAGACTCTCTTAATATGCTACCCCATCGCGCCTTGTACTTTTCTTCCATAAATCTACATTTTGAATTATTTAATGTTTCTCTTCCCCCATGGAACTGTAATTTCCATGAAGGCAGACTCAGCTGTTCAATCACTTAACATAATCTATACTACATGAAGGCTGCTCGATTAGTGTGTGTTGGATGGTGAGGCCAGAAGGTGGCTCAGCAGGTTGAAAGGTGCTTGTTGCACAAGTCTGACACCTGCGTGTGATCCAAGACATCTACAGTAGAAGGAGAGAACCAAATCCAAAAGACTGCCTTCTAACCTCCACATGGCTCGCACACCCGTAGTTTGATAGTCCAAGCCTACAGACACAGGAACTTGAGAAATGAGGGGGGGAAAGTGGGAGTCCAAAAGTTCCAGACTAGTCTATGAAACACACCAAGACTCCTTGTCCAAGAAGAAAAACAAAAAGAAGAGAAAAAGAAACAAATCAGCCTCTTAATCGTCAATAGATTTTGTTCTCTTTTCAAAACTGCTCCCAGACTCGCCTGTTGACCGACGTGACTGTGATCAGGCTAGCTGCCCTTACCTTATTAGTCTGCAGAATCCGTGCATGAAATGCAGCTGGCCAGGCATGCAGCAACAGGTAAGCATACGAGCGAATGGCGTACACTGGGGAATACTCCCACGTCTGAAATCCCTTCCCATAGATGAGGTAGTGTGTCTGAAAGCAGAAACAGATGTGGTCAGGGCTGTACTAGCAGAGCCCCTCACGGGCTCACAGGTGAAGAGTCCCATCAAAACTGTCAGACACAAAATTTGAGAATTAACATTTGTAACTAATGAGCAAGAAAAACAACAAATGACCTCATATTTTTAAGTTAAAATAAAAATTTTACTGTATTTTCTTAAAATACTGTTTAATGCCGGGCAGTGGTGGTGCAGGCCTTTAATCCCAGCAATTGGGAGGCAGAGACAGGTGGATCTTTGTGAGTTCAAGGCCAGCTTGGTCTACAAGAGCGAGTTCCAGGACAGCCAGAGCTGTTACACGAGAAATACTGCTTCAAAAAACAAAACAAACAAACAAACAAACAAAAAAGTTTAACTTAAACAGAAAAACTGTAAGTCGTTTATTTTCCTTACATACACCAAGTAAGCATCTTCCCTCTGGTTTTTGATACAAATGTGTTTGGGTAAGGGTACTTCCAAATTTTTTATACTAGAAAGTAAACAAACAATACATAAACATATAAATCAGAAATGTTATGCATGCACTATTAGTAACACACACACACAAAACAACAACAAAGAAACCTGTGGAGTCCGATTCTCTATTGGTCAAGTACATCTGAACATGAGGTGTCCTGGAGTGGCTGAGAGTCTGTGTCAGTTTATTGGAGGAAATAGATTTCCCTCTCAGCAAGTCTAAATGACAGTTCAGTTGTTAGTCTTTACCCTAGTGGGTTTTCATTCATTCACTCATTTGTCTTAAAAATATAAAAAAAATTATAATAAAACAAAAACTACCCCATCGAAGTTGGACAGGACAAACCAAGAGAAGGACACTCACACTTCCATATAGCAATTCATCATCAAAAACAATGTAGGCAGGAACTCACACAGGGCAGGAACCTGGAGACAGGGGCTGATGATGCAGAGGCCACAGAGGAGTGCTGCTTACTGGCTTACTCTCCATGGTTTGCTCAGCCTGCTTTCGTATAGCCCCCCGGACCACCAGTGCAGGGATGGCAGAACCTACAATGGGCTGGGCCCTCTCCATCAACCACTAATTAAGAAAATGTCCTAGAGGCTGCCTATATCCCAGTTCTATGGAGGCATTTTCTCAACTGAGGATCCACCCTTTTCTAATGACTCTTGCTTGTGTCAAGCTGACAAAAAACAAGCCCCCACAATTATTTTGGCAAATATCAGAAGAAATAAACTTAAAAAGCTGGAAGAATATAGTTTCCCTCTAAGAAGTGGGATCTGGACAGGATGAAAATGGATAACTGTACTTCCCTCAAGTTTTGTAGTAACTGTTAGCTTTAAAACCTGGATCTACAAGTATTACTTAGACTTATAAAACCATTTAAAAGATTATTAAGTCTCACCTTTGAGTATGTCAGCTAAAGGTCACAGGCTTCAACAGTAACTAAACCAACAGTTTGGACTATTTTAAAGACCTGTTTTATTTATGTATGAGTGCATGCATGTACCTGTGTGCTATGTGTACCAGAAGAGGGCATGAAATCAAAGATCAGATCTGATCAGATATCAGAGAACAATTGATTGATTGATTGATTGAGATGGGGTCTCTTTAAGTAGCCCCCCCACCCCACCCCCTCCTCCTGGAATTTGCTCTGGAGACAAGACTGGCCTTGAACTCATAAGAGATCCTCCTGCCTCAGTTTCCAAAGTGCTGTGATTAGAGCACCACCATACTGCTGTCATGATTTGGAGCTGGATTCACCTAAATTTGAACTATAATCCTCATGACTGAGCAAGTGCTCTTAACCACAGAGCCAGCTCGCTAGCCCCAAATCAATAGGTTTTAGGCTATAAAAGTGAAGATAATTTATTTTAATATTTTCACACTTGCATTTTACTTGTTTGTTAATTAGTCCTAAGTACCAAATCAAGATCAAAGGCCAAATCCCAGAACTGAGGGCTAAGGATGTAGTCTAGTGGTAAAGCATTTGCCTAGCACACCCAAGACCATGGGGTAGATCCCTAGGACTGCAGAAACTAACAGCAACCAAACACACAAATACAACGGCTAAAGAGATCACCTACTGGCTCCCAGTAGTTGAATGTTTCATCGCAGTCAGAGATGTTGCTGAGGAGAGCGGCACACAATCTTGCTGAGAGCAGACACTTGAAAGCAGTGGATCCTTCAGGAGCCCAGACTTGCCCAGCTTTATTTCCAGACCTGCCCAGAAGGGAAAGCAAAACCATTAGTGGATCAGGAAGCCTGCTAGGGAAGACTAAATGCAGACAGAATAGACAAGAATGGCTAAAGGCACCAACGCAATAAACCATTCACCTAAAAGAAGGGCTTGTCGTGCGTTTTCTTTTTTTTTTAAAGGCGTGCGCCACCACCTCCCGGCTTGTCATGCGTTTTTCAATCCCACTTTCCACTTCCTGCTACTGGGGAACACACTACTTCGGACACCTTGGCCTATTTCACCTGCAACACTCCCTTTCCCCTCAAGCCAATTAATTACTCACTTGAAGGCCACAATGCCCCCTCCCCATTTCTTAACGTCACCCCTCGTTAAGCCTATCTATCGTCCCCTCCTTTAAACGAATAGAGGCCTCTAATACAAAGTGCAGGTGCAGCAGACAGTTCCTTTACTGCAGCCCTGACCTACAGGCTACAGGCTTGCTGGTGTTTTCGAGGGCTGAAGGGGAGAAAACAGCAAACGGGCTACTGGGAGAATCAGAAGGGAGGCAGCGCGGTGTAAAAGGCGTACTCTCCAGCCAACAGCTCCCACAGAGGCTCGGCTAACTCTACCAGCAGGAAGCCTGCTCAGTGTGGGCCTGAACCTGAAGCGTGGCAGACCCTAGCTCCAACAATGCAGGGATCTGCGGACGGGCGAGGATCAACCCGAACCCGGACACTCCCAGGAGGGCCAGGAGGAGGCGGCCAGGCGAACCCGGCTCGCTGCGGAGACCCCCGGCCGCCCGACCTCCCGCCCGCCACGCCCTCCGGCCGCACACGCACTCTGGCCGCTGTTCCGCGCTGCCCGCCTCCCGGCTGCCCAGCAGCTCCCGCAGCTTCTCCGCCGCCGGGCCCGTGTCCCCGCCGCCGCCGCCCTTGAGGCGCTGCCGGGCCCTTCGGCTCGCCATGCCAAGCGTCGGAGAAAGGGCAGAACTCCGCACGCTAAGATATCAGCGAGAGCGCAGACATTGCTTGGCTAGGAAACGGTGTCCGCCGAGGGACAAAAAGCCTTGACATGCGCAGAAAAGACTAAAATACTGTGTCACCGGACCAATTGGGGCGGAGGCGCGGATCAGCAGCCTGGGGCTAGCCCTCCCATTTTTAACGCTAGGTGTTTCTCCCCATTTCTCAACACACCACACTTGCCAATGCTACAGAGCGTTCCGTTAAAGGGCACCGCACACCTTGCTATGTCTTGTTGAGAGGAATGGAGGCAGCCAATAACTCCGGAGAGACAAACCCGTAAGGCCAGAATTCTGAGAAGTGAGTCCGAGGAAGTCCAACGCAAAATACTCAACCAGGCATTTGTCAGTGGCGTTGCTACTACAGCGCAGCGGTAGGCACTTCACAGACGTGGTTTTAATTCTCTCAGCCACCTTGCTTTTACTGATAAAGCCAAGGTCCAAAGTTGCTTGGCTAATAAATGGAACTATTCCAATTGAGGACCGAGTACAAACACACTATTCTCGCTACATCATCAAAAGCCCTTTTTAGGAGAGTTTTGTTGTTTTTAAAGGAGTCTAGGGGTCCGGACTTCTTGGTTTCAGAGGTATTTATTTACAAAGACACTTTATGAGAGAGGAGGGAAGGAAAGGGAAGGAGAGAGAGAGGGGGAGAGAGGGAGGGAGGGAAGGAGGGAGAGAGAGGGAGGGAGGGAGAGAGAGGGGGCGAGAGAAGGAAGGAGGGGGGGGGGGGGGGGGGGGGGGGGGGGGGGGGGGGGGGGGGGGGGGGGGGGGGAGGGAGGGAGGGAGGGAAAAAAGAAGTTGGCCGGTGGTGGCACAAGCCTTTAATCACAGCACTCAGGAGGCAGAGCCAGAGGTATCTCTGTGAATTGAAACCAGCTTGGTCTACAGAGCAAGTTTCAGGACCACCAGGGCCGTTACACAGAGAAACCCTGTCTTGAAAAATCCAAACAAGAATAATAAAAATGGAGGTTGATCCTATGGATCAGTTCCCATACACAGTCATTAGTTACCAAGCCCTAACATCAGCTTCAGTAGAACTCATATGTACCTCATTCCTTTCCTGAAAAGAGAAGTAAGGCAGACAGACCCAAATGACAAGCCCGGCTCTGAGACGAGTTACATGAATTCGACAGTCAATGACAGAAGCAGCAGTGTAAGGGATGATCGACCCCACATGTGTAACACACGCAGTAAGACGCACAAACTCCGTGAGATGATACAGAGGAGCTGAGAGTGTGGGAAATATATTTACAAACACGTGTGGTGAGACATCCAGACTACAGCCTCTTCAGCAAAAGAACAGTGAAGTACATATGCTTGTCTTGTTTGTGCTTCGGTCATTACTCAGGATCAAAAAACTGAACTACAAGGTCACCAGTCACATTAGTCTGTAAGGGTATTTTTGTTTGTTTTTGGTTTAGCTCGGTTTGGTTATTAGGAACAGGACCTCGCTATATAGCCTGGGCTGGGCCTGCCTCTGCCTTCTGAGGACTAGGCTCAGAAGAACAAAGCACCAGCACCACCAGCACCCACCACCTCCACCACCACCACTCGTACCACCAGCACCACCACCATCAACACCAGCACCACCACCTCCACCAGGACCAGTACCAGCACCACTACCACTATGCCTAGCCAGGCTGTAGGTTTAAATGATGTTCACAGATATCTTTAGGGTTCATGAACACTACTTTGGTCACACACACACACACAAAATCTTACATACAACACATACCAAAAAACAAAAACAACAAAAATCCACAGATTCCAGAAAGGAGTAACAGCTTCAAGTTGTTCTTTTCCACCCACATACAACATACAATGAGGGTTCCCGCTATAGAAAGGACCTTACTAAGCTATCGAAGCGAAACATGGAGCTGTCTTTGAACCTCTTTTCTGAACCGGGCCTGCATTGCTGCTGCCAGCTGTGGGCTGAGCGCCCTGTCACAAGCCTGATAGGTCAATCTATAGCAGAGGCTGACCTGTTCAGTCTCCGGATGCTGAAAACGGCCAAGGAACTGTATGGAGATAACAGTGTCCTGAGACACTGCTCGGGCCATGGTGTGGAACTCCAGGTCATCAAATCCTTTCTTCTTGTCTAACCAAAAGCTGATATCATGCACGTAGCGTGGAGGATACAGGGAATAGCTTTTAAAGCGCGCTGTTTTCCCAGGGGCAAATCTTTTCAGGAAACGGTTATCAAAGGTCCACAACAGTCTCCAATCGGAAATATCATAGACAAGCATGGCTAACAAGTCCACGTTTAGAGAAACAAACACAAAGCACTGTTGCTTATGTGAAACAGTTATAGATGTGACCACAGTCCCAATAATCAGATTCTCAGTACAACCTGGGCCAAAATGAAGAGATTTCACATGGATTACGTAATCCTTTCCATTTGGTTGAAGGACAAATTCCACTGAAGGGCTCAAACTGGAGCCCTCCAGCAATGTCTGAGTCAGAAGGTTATCTAGAATATCCTTCAGGTGGTCCAGCAGTGACGCCAGGCGGCTATCCTTCACGTTTTTATGTAACCCAAGGATAAGCAGAGTCTCATGAAATGCTGGCATTGTGAGCGGTGAAATATGGCACTTCCGATAGACAGGCCCACTGAGGATGTGCAGGGGCCCTGGGAGGAAGTCTGGTGAACGGATGACAGCTTCAGCGTGAACTAGAAGAGAAGGTCTAAGACAGAGCTTAGCCTGTTCACGGAGACCCTCCTGAGCTGCTGCGCAGTCAACCCACCCAGGACTCTTGGGAAGGGCACATTCTGAAAACGATAGGAGAACGTCTTCCATTTCCTGTGTTATTTCAGCAGTCAGGGACTCAGAATAAGAGTTATCTTCATAGAGACTAATCCAAAAGGCAGACGAGTCGCAGGTCCCAGGAGGGAGGATACTGGTGCCTCCCTGTGACAACAAAGGGAAGGAACACTTCAGTCTTCTTAAAGGAAAGTGTTTGCCCAATTCAGCAATGAGCTTCTCATTGATGGTTCTGACAGGATGACAGGAAGATGCTTCAAGGAACCGCCTGTTTAAACACACAAAATAATTTTTCACTTATAATAAGTTACAATTGCTGGAATTAAAATCATTTGTTCTTATGTAGAATGCAATCATCCTTAAACCAATCCTGAAAACAACTCATTTGTCATATAGTCAAAAGCATATGCTTTTTTTGAGATAGTATGTACATCTTTTGGTTTGGTTTGGGGCTTTTTATCTATTTATTTATATTTTATTTATTTATTTATTTATTTATTTATTTATTTATTTATTTATTTTCAGTGATGGGAGCCAATTCTGACCTGGTGCAAGATACTCCCAGGCCTGGAGAGTTAGCATATGGTTTAGACGTCTGCCACCAGCCCTCTACTCCATCAGCCTGGTAAGCACCCACGGCACCATCATTAACAGTTCATGTATCATCCACTCAAAAGGTGGTGACCATTAACACGATCATGGCACAAGTAGGGACAGAAATGATTTCCAGCAAAATAAAAGATTACCTGTTCAACTTTCCTCCAAGTGCCTCGGGCTCTGTAAAGGAAAACCACTGGTCTTCCAGTCTGACCCTGAATGTTCTGGGCTGACAGCCTTCGAATGGTAAGCTCTGGGTGAAGATATGGTTCAAAGCTCCTTCTACGTGAAATGACTTAGCCTGACTCCTGCCAAATAAATGAACAAACAGCTTCTTTAAATTAAATATTATTTATTTACATTTTAGTTGACATTAAACATATGCGTATAAGTGTGTGTGTGTGTGTGTGTGAGAGAGAGAGAGGGGGGGGGGGTTACGATTAGTAAGAAAACTATTTTTGAAACTAAATCAGGAAATTAGAAAGGAAAAAGTCTGCTTTTGATTCTTTTTATGACTTTAAGCAAGAGATGGAAGAAGACTTAGGCCTACGGTATTACTTACCTATACCCAGTGCACTTGTATCCTGGCACGGCCTCACAGCTGAAGGGATACACATCGCTTAAAATGAACCCTCCCAGGGCTGCCATGGCAACCACTTGCCAACTGTTGTGCCACTCTCTCTGAGGCTCATCGGCAGGAGTTCCGCCTTGTCCTCTACACAGGGCCACGTGGATTTCCCCTTCCTTCGCAAGAACATCAGCACAGCTTATAGAGGACAAACACCAGACATGTATCAGAAACCACCAAAGGAGTCAGCAATATGCACATGGTTTAGCTCTGAAATAATTAAAGTTCACCTTACTTGCAGAGGTCTATCTTTGCGTTTGTGTCGCTTTCCTGTATGTCACAGAAGCGTCAGTGTCCAGCAGGCTCCCACAGATAATTCACTCTGCGTTGTTTCTCCCCATTAGGAAACCTCTCATAGTTGAGGGCTGGGTTGAGCACTACATCGCCGTGCATAAGGCCCTGGCTTTGATAATCACCATGCACACACATCTATACTTCAACTGCCGAATTTGAAACGCCGCCTTTGCTAAAGGTTTCTCAGACCTAGAGGCCAGTGGAGCCTCCAACACTGTCAGTGCAGTATACTGGTGTAAAGCACTATGGTAAAGCCATAATCATTGTAAGGAGCAGCTACTACAGTAGCCCCAGTTCATAGGTGCAGAAAAAGAAGCAGGTGATGCCTAAACTTGCCTACGGTTTTAGTTAGCAAGGGGTGAGCCAGCACTTGAACCCAGGCCGTGTGGCTCTTAAATCCATGCTCTTCGTCATCAAACTATACTGGCTCTTACTATTTTTCATTAAAAGACATTCTAGGGGTGAGCTGGAGAGGGGATTTGGCAGCTAAGCGCACTGGTTGTTCAGAGCTCAATTGCCAGCACCCGTATGACAGCGACACCCATCAGTAACTCCAGTCCTGGGGATCCAATGCCCTCTTCTGGCCTGAGTACCAGGCACACTCATGATGCACAGACAAACATGCCCACAAAGCACCTTTATATATACATTTATTTTATTTTGGTTTTTTGAGACAGGGTTTCTCTATCACTTTGGAGCCTGTGTCCTGGAACTAGCTCTTGTAGACCAGGCTGGCCTCGAACTCACAGAGATCCGCCCACCTGCCTCTGCCTCCAGAGTGCTGGGATTAAAGGTGTGTGCCACCACCCTCCCGCTAAAATATTTTTTAAACAAACAATTTGGAGCAATCGAGATGGACCAGTGGGTAATGATACTTGCCACCAAGCATGACAGCCTAAATTCTATCCCCCGGATTCACAGTGGAAGGAGAATCAACTCCTTTAAGATGTCGTCTGACCTCCACACCCGTACATTACACACATACAGACAGACACTAATTACATTTAAAAAAATAATCTTGCCTTTTCCCTCCTAAGGCCTATTTAAGCTTTTACATCTAGGGTTATATGACCCAATTTAAGACAAGATTGTGGTTTCCTCTGGGTTTTCCTTCCTTTCCACGTAAATCCTAGCAACTCACACACGTGTGTGTCCTACGTCTACAAAGTTTGTGTGTAGTAACTTGGTTATGGACATCTGGAAACATTTCGCATCCGAGGACTCGTCTTTCCTCACCTCTGGAAAAACTTGGCAAGCAATTCCCTGTTCTTAGCTACTCCCGCTTTTCGTCCACAGTGCGGAAAGTTGAAATAAATTCGATCAAAGTCTCTGTCGTGTGCCTGCAAGGCGTGTGCCAGCTGGGTGCAATCCACACCAAAACGAACTTCGATACCTGGCAAAGAAAGTTGAAATGCAAACCAAAAGACATCTTAAGATCTGTAACCCAGACAAACACAGAACCCCAATCCAGCCCAGGCATGGGCACGCAGCACTTCCACGTGAGCGCCTCCAGGAGGCGCACTCACACTCCCCAAGCAAGCCACACCCCCACGCCCTGGGCGGGGCCTGGCGGAGGGGTGGGACCCGCTACCTCGCTCGCGCAGGCGCTGTAGGTTCTCCTGGGTCACCGGATCCCCGTCCAGATCGTCCGGCTGTTGGAGGCAGGTAGCGGTAACACTGACGCCGGGATCCAGGGTGTCGATTAGAGACGCGGTGAAGGAGAAATTCCCTTCCCCTACCAACAGGAGGCGCCGGAGAACCATGGTCTCCTCTGGCTCCCTGCCGGCGCTCTCTGGAGCGTACATTTTGCGTCACTTCCTTCGCATCGGCCTCGGCTCCCACTCCCCCCTTCTCTGCCCGGCACAAGTTAATGACGCATCAACAGCGTGTGGTTATTTAGTTGAACACTCAGTGCCAATACCAGGCTGCAGCATGCCTGAGAGAGCAATGGAGCTATCGGCCTTGCCCCATCACCTTCGTGCACCTCGGAAGGCTCGTTTGCATTTCAGTACAGGGACTGACCTGAGCGTCTTCGTCACACCTGCTTGAGGTCACAAACAGCCAGTCTCTGAGGGGCGAGGTGAATCCTGCCTGTTTCAGCGGCACAGGATTTTTTTTGTACCTGCACCATCTCCTGAATGACTAGCTCCTGGTCTCTCAGCTGCTGCTCAACATTTCTCGAGGTGCTTGTATATCCTATTTCCAAGAAAAACAAAAAACACATTGTCTGTTTTGTTCCAGGGCACTGTGAAAGCTAGTTAAGTATTTGGGTGTACTAGAAGTGGCCTGTCTACTGTCCACTGTCTGATAACAAATGCACACCGCAAAAGAGACAACTCTAATACAATGGGGTGTGGACCCACGATGAGTGAAGGGATTCAGATCCCTACTGAAGCACACACAAGGGGGAACACTACCAAGTTGGGGAAAGGAGGAATAGATTCCCTGTGCCTGTAAGCCTGTGTTGAAAGCTAATGGGAGGCGGGGGCGGGTGTTCACTGCTTCTAAGTGTTTTCACTTAGGATTAGAGCCAGAAGAAGCAATGTTTACAAAAGCATAATGAAAAAAAAAACAGCGGTTACATTTGATTGCCCGAACGCGGTAGGAGCGTGTGTAACAGGTGATACTGACGAGTTCAAAGCTGGCCAGGTCATATGGAGTGTTGTAACCATAACAGCCTAAACCTTATTCTGAGAATATAGAAAGCCACTAGAAATCCAGTGTGTCAGACAGCAGGAGGCTCATAAAGAACTTGAAGAGGTCTCAGAATGTGAAATGAAAACTTTTATAACACCCAGGTTGATGAAGTTAATTTATAGATTCGACTAGGGCTTGTTGTTCTTGGTAATCCGCCTGATAAAGCAGCCTCCAGAATAAGCAACTTTCCACCCAAAATCACATTTAAAACGAAGGCCTATCACCCTAACTTTGATGGGACAGGCATCTCTGCCTGTGATTAGTGGAGAACTGCAAAACAGCCTTGAAGTAATCCATTCCCTCATAGCACTGGTGAAGGATCCCCAACTCAAGCACCCACCCTGGGCTGAACTAGCTAAAGAACACTCTAAGGATCATAAGAAAAAAAAATTCTGGAGCCGGGTGGTGGTGGTGCATGCCTTTAATCCCAGCACTCGGGAGGCAGAGGCAGGCGGATCTCTGTGAGTTCGAGGCCAGCCTGGTCTTCAAGAGCTAGTTCCGGGACAGGCTCAGAAAACTACAGAGAAACCCTGTCTCAAAAAAAAAAAAAAAATCTGGAAGGATGCTTGAAGAATTTGCAAAGAAGCATAGGGGAAAGTGACCTGGAGACTAAACGCTGCCATGAGTGGTCCCTGCAAGTCTGAGCAGAGACCCCAGTCAGTGCATTCAGATATCCCCTAGAGCGCCCTCTCTGGGGAACTGATGGGTGCCATCACCTGTTGCTTGATTGTGGATTGTGACAGATGCCACAGCTTCCTTCATCAAAAATGGCCTAGGTAACGTTAATAACGTTGGAGTTAAAAATTCAGGTGTTCTAACAACAACAGAAGCCACTAAGAGATTTAAAATAGGAAGACATTGCCCATTTTGTTTTGTTTTCAAAAACTGCTTTCCTATGGGGATCGCTTAGACAAGAACAAGGTTGATGACAAGGAAGTCAGAAAAGAAGCTGCTTGCTGCCGAGGGGACAAAAGGAGCCATCTTCCTGGAAAGGGATGGTGAAGAAGAAAAGCAGTAGACTGATTCAGAAACGGCAAGACATCGTGACTGACTGACCGAACGCCTAAAGGAAAGTCAAAAATCAGCCTTGGCTTTCTGCCTCAGACAACTGAGGTGTCTGCTATTCTAGCTCTCGGGTCAGCCTCGTCTCTAAACACTGGGCACACTGGGCTTCCTGGGTCCACCTACCCAAGCCAGCATGCTGCTTGATGACATCAGCACATGCATGCAGCTATCTTCACAAAGGTAGATGATGTGAGGGCGGTCACCTCCAATCCCACCCTTCATTGCTACACTCTTGGCTTTGCCTGCCTGTGAAGAGGCAGTTGGGTTGTGTCTCTTAAGCCATGACCATGTGTCCATGGTGATCTGTATTCCTTTGTTTGGAGAGCTGAAGTATTGGGATTGGAAAACATGGAACAGCTGTGTAAGGATTACTGTTTCTCTCTGAGATACTCAAACAAGTCATTGTATTCACCATCAAGTTACACAACAATAATACAGGTATTGTCTTGCTCCTTAGCCCAGGGACCAGGCTTATTTTGTAACAACAACAACAAAAAAGCTGGGCTTTTGATTACTTGCCAAAAACTTAGACATTTTCCTTCTGGTATGTTGCAAAGAACTATTGTTTGGGATGGTGGCTATTGGTTGGGAGGATATATACAACAATGAACAAAATTCAGATCCTGTTCTTAACAGGTGTGGGGTTGAGCAGATAAACGTTGCATGTTCTTGAACCTATCACTGAAAGGTATAAAGTGAACAGCGGGAAGAGAACTTCCGTGTGGGCCAAAGGAGAGTTATCTTTCTTGAGCTGATCTGGAAGAGGGAGTTGTTAGTCATTTAGTGTGTTATCTGGCTATTCAGCGTTTCACCTCTCATTCTCTCCGTAGCAATACCTTTAGACCCTCAACTCTTATATCTTGAAGTCACTCAAACATTTAGCTCAGGGCTGGAGAGATGACTCAGAGGTTAAGAGCACTGGCTGCTCATCCAGAAGACCCGGGTTCAATTCCCAACACCCATATGGCAGATCACAGCTGTCTGTAACTCCAGTTCTAGGGCATCCGATACCCCCATACAGATATACATGCAGACAAAACACCAACGCATGTGAAAGAAAATAAATACATTTTAAAGCCTGTTTAGCTCTTTGCTCGCGTGGTGTTGGGGATGCTAAAAAGGCTTTTTGTGGGACGGTGGCATTTGTAGTCAGTCATCTATCTGCTACTGGTGATTGACATGATAGGTCAATGAGTACATTCACCTGAAGGGGAAGAATCAAACCCATATCAATTGCATTTGGACAAAAGCCTAGAGTGTTAATAAGGTGTGCTTATGTTAGCACTTTGCCCTGTAAAGCAGAGATAGAAATGAATGCGTCCTCTGCTCTCTGGTTGTTTAGTAAGCTTTTATGTTCTTCGTTTTTCCAGAGACAGAACCTTGTCTGCTTCCTCAGAAACCCACACTATGGCAGCCTTATTTACGCTGATGGTCATGGCGAAGTGTGGACAGATTGGAACAGCATGTCCAAGTTTTTTCAGTACGGGTGGAGATGCAGCACTAATGAGAACTCATACTCAAATCGTACTCTGATAGGCAACTGGAACCAGGAAAGATACGACCTAAAGAATATTGTAAAACCCAAACCCTTGCCCTCCCAGGTAACATAACTTTCTGTTCTTTGGTGACTTTCTGTTAGAAGGAATGCCAGCCGCCATGGGAGAGATTTATGTCCAGTATTCTGATAGCTCAGCCTTCGGCTGGACCACCGAACCCACTTCAGTATCAAGTTGAATATTACCTGTAAATTGTCAAGTGATGAGTAGGTCTCTTTTTCTCTTGCTTCGTTTGGATTTCACCTGTTAATCTTCAGAAAGACAGACTGTCTCTGACTTAGGCTATCTTCTCCTCTGGGCTTGTTGTTTACCTAAGCCTTGCCCTTTAGTCCCCTATGCAATGAATTAGTAAGTCTGACAAACTAATCACAGATGGACCTCTAGTCTACCTCAAGTGACAAAGCGGCTAAAGTCATGCTGCGCTGTCCCTTCTGATGTTAGCTACTGACTACTAGATGATTCTTCTTCTTCTTTTGAAGATTTACTTAGTTTTTATGTTCATTGGTGTTTTGCCTGCCTGTATGTCTGTATGAGGGTGCTAGATCCTCTGGAACTGGAATTACAGACAGTGTGAACTGCCATGTAGATGGTGGGAATGGAACCCAGGTCCCCTGGGAAAACAGCCACTGCTCTTAAGCATGGAGTCAGCTCTCCAGCCCCAACTACTAGATTCTTCCTTCCCTTCCTTCCTTTTTTTCTTCCTTCCTTCCTTCCTTCCTTTCTTTCTTTCTTTCTTTCTTTATTTATTTATTTATTTATTTTTGACAGGATTTCTCTGTGCGTAGCCCTGGCTGTCCTGGAACTTGCTCTGTAGACCAGGCTGGCCTCGAACTCATAGAGATCTGCCTGCCTCTGCCTCCCAAGTGCTGGGATTAAAGGAGTGCACCACCGCCACCCAACTGTATTCCTAATCTATTGCTTTTCTTTCTAGTTTGGACACTACCTTGAATCAACGTATGATGCAAGTTACAACAGCAAAAAGCCACAGTCAGCCCATAGTAGGTGGACTCATCTTACTAATTCTCAACTCTTCACCCAGCTTAGTTCCTGGCAGATAGAAGGGACTCAAAAGTAAACTGAATGTGTACATAAGTGAACAATTTCTCTCGTTTCCACTTTGACAGGACTCAAAGCTAAACAGGAGCTCTGTTACTAAAATTCCTTGTTGACTGTGTACCTATTTTTCTTTCCTTTCCTTAGGATTTAAGCGAGAGCCTCATTGGTTCCCTGGACACCAGCCGGAGCTGGATCCTCCTCACAACAAATGCACTGAGAAGTCAACTTTTATGAATAGCTATTCAAAGCCTCTGCCCACTCATTACTCTTGGTGTGTATGTGATCCAAACATGGAGCAATCTGAGGATCCGAGAATCTAAGAGAGAAAAGCAGCATCATTTTTGCCTAAAGTAAACTGTAGAAAGGAGCACGTTTTAAGCAGATTCAAGCTTCGCTCTTAACACAGACTGTCTAAATAAAGCACGAGACACCAAAGAACAAACAAAATCTCCATTTGTTTACTCTAACTGTCCTAGTGCGTTTTTATCAACACAAACCTAGACAGACATGTCTGGGGAGAGGGAATTTTAATTGAGACATTACCTCCATACCATTAACCTGTAGCCAAGCCTGTAGTGAGTACATTTTCTTGATTAATGATGAATCTAGGAGGGCCTACCCCACGGGTCAGTGCCACCTGGATTCTAGAAGAAAGCAGGCTGACCAGGCCGTGGAGAGCAAGCCAGTAAGCAGCACCCTCCATGGCCTCTGCGTCAGCTTCCCAGCTCCAGTTTTCTAGTTTGAGCTCCTCCCTGACTCTCCTGGACGATGGACTTAAAAGATGGAAACTGAAACAAGTTCTTTCCTCCCCAAGGTGCTTTTGTTCATGGTGTTGTAGCACAGCAGTAGAAACCCTGTGCTATATATGATAACCCTGTGTATATATGATAACAATTAATAGGGGGGAAAGGTCGTTAGTTTGAAAAAGAACAAGGCCAGGGCGGTGGTGGCGCACGCCTTTAATCCCAGCACTTGGGAGGCCGAGGTGGGGGGGGGGGATCTCTGTGAGTTTGAGTTCAAGGCCAGTCTGGTCTACAAGAGCTAGTTCCAGGACAGGCTCCAAAAAGCTACAGAGAAACCCTGTCTCGAAAAACCAACAGAAAGAAAGAAAGAAAAAAACAAGGAGGGGTATCTGGGAAAATTTGGAGGAAGGGAAGGGGGAAATGAAGTAATTATAATTTCAAAAAATAAATAATTTGTTTAAACAATCAAAGGGTTTCGTGCCTGTTAGGCAAGCACTCTGCCGACTGACATACTTCTCCAGCTCTGGGCTTCACTCTTGGGAACAGGTGTGGTAGCATGTCTGACTCTCCAGCCTTTAGAGGCTGCGACAGACACCGTGCTCAAGGCCAGTCTCAGCTCTCTATACACAACGAGTGAGGCTGTGGCTCCTTTGTGAGGCGCTTGTCTGGCATGCTTAGGACCCCGAGTTTGAACCCCAGCAGGGAGAGGAAAAACTAAAGCCCACCTTAGAACACTCAGAAGGCTGAGGCAAGAGCACACCAGGCAGTTTGAGACCTGCCAGTGGGGGTTACGTAGTGGATTCCAGGTGAGTCTAGACTACAGACTTTTGATCCTCGCTTTGGGATTTTTTGAAGATGTATTTATTATGTCTGTGTGCTATCTGTGTATACATCTTCTTACCAGAAGAGGGCACCAGATCTCATTACAGATGATTCTGAGCTACCTTGTGGTTGCTGGGATTTGAACTGGGGACCTCTGGAAGACCAGCCAGTGCTCTTAACCGCTGAGCCATCTCTCCAGCTCCTGTGTGATCCTATCTTTAAAAAAAAAAAAAAGTATGTCTTTCAAATGTGTGAACGTTCCTCTCTGCTTTCCATCAGGGGCAAGCATGAAAATCCTGACATAGCTTCTTTGTTGCCAGGAACATTCCTGAAGTCATAGCCTGGCCTCCTGAGTAACCCCTGCTGAGGACTGTGGGAAACAACTCCCCTACTACAGACAATATGGAGTGTGTTGATTTTATTTTGGAACATATCTCAGGAGTACAGTTTCATCTCAATAATTTCTGCGCCTATCCAAAAAATAATAAGGGAGAGACAGCCAGTTGTTAACTCCTCCGCTGAGAGCACTGAGGGAATCTATTAATCAAACAAAGCTAAGCGTGCTGAACCTTGTAGATCAAGGAGTAGCAGCCTAACCCCGGGTCTTAGTGGTTCAGAAAGATGCTGGAGTGAGCTGCTGATCTGAGGGAGGTCTGCGCAGCGGTGAGTGGGTAGGGTAGAAGAGAACCGTGAGTAGCTCAAGTTGGTAAATGTAGGGAGGCTTTTCTTTATTGTAATATTTTGGCTTCTGGTTCAATCCCCTTACTCCAGTGATGTGTTTATACAGATACTCTTTCTTCAGGACTTCTTTGGGTAAATTATATATATCGTGGGATTTCTCTGTTTTGACTGTATTTTCAGTCCCCGGCAAGGTGTCAGAAACAAGGTGCTCCGTCTCCCTGATACTCAGGTGACAGCACACATATCATTAGACTGTCTCCAAGCAGCTCCAGCCGATCCCTACAGTACACAACAAGGTCTAATCGAACAACTGTGATTGCAGGCCACTAGTGGGGTGATCTAAAAGGGAGGAATTGAGAACCCTCGGTGCTCTCGGAGGAGAAGTTAACAACTGGCTGTCTCTCCCTTATTTTTTGGATAGACACAGAAATTATTGAGATGAAACTGTACTCCTGAGATACGTTCCAAAATACAGTCAATACATTTACTATTCTCTGTACTAGGGAAGTTGTTTTTCTTTTCATAGTCCTGAGCAGGGGTTACTCAGTGAGGACAGGCTGTGTCTGACTGACTTCGGGGATGTTCCTAGCAACACAGGATTGGAGAACTTTACACATAGATTTTGATCTTGCAGACTCCGTTGAACTCTGTTTTTCTGGCGTTTGTGTCTTTGTTTTGTCAGATTATATCTTTGTAAATGACAGTTCTGTCTCTAACTTTGCAACTTTTACGTCTGTTCTAATGTGACGTTGGTCAGAGTCTGGAGAGCAGTGTCAGGTGTGGTCATGGCCCCCTCATCTTGCTCAGCATATCAACCCGAATGTATTTAAATTCTCTTAGGCAGGCGTAACACTTATTCCAGATTTTTGCTGTACCTGACATTTATGAGTATAAGGAAATCCCTTTTCTTTCTTGCCAATAATCTTTCTCTTGACCTATGGTGCCCTGAAACGGTATCCATGAAAGTGGAGGATCTGTCAAACCCAGCATCTGGCTGATTGTGACTTGACTTTCTGACTCTGCATTTTGGCCTCTTGCTGCCATCACTGGAGGTCTCCCCCTCCACGTCGTTTTAAGCTGTCTTCCCGTTAAGCTAGAGCGGCATTGCCAATGGCAAACGGAGCCCTTCAGCTCTATCTCTTCCTCCAGTCACGTCCCTGGATCCCTGTTTCCAGGGCTGCCCTTTTGTGTTAGCAGGCTCCTCAGCTTCCGGTGACCACTCATCTGTTTCCTGGCCATCATTCTCTTGGTTTCCATGAAACTGTGGCAAGCTGTTTCTTCCCATTTCTCTGGTAGCTTCTTGGGGTGTTTTATGAACCGACCTTTCTCCATAGGTCCTTTAAGGTTTCCTTCCCAACCATTTTCTTTTCTTTTCTTTTTTAAAATATTTATTTATTTACTTATTATGTATACAATATTCTGTCTGTGTGTATGCCTGTAGGCCAGAAGAGGGCATCAGACCTCATTACATATGGTTGTGAGTCACCATGTGGTTGCTGGGAATTGAACTCAGGACCTTTGGAAGAGCAGGCAATGCTCTTAACCGCTGAGCCATCTCTCCAGCCCCCCAACCATTTTCTTATTTGTCCTTTTTCCACTCTTTGTGCTACTCCCAGGTGACAGCTATCAACCACGCTGCCTTTAACTGATATTACAAACTTGCAGATTTCTATCGTCATTTTTAATTACATTTATTGTGTGTGTGTGTGTTTTCACACAAATGTGTGCCACAGTGTACTTCTGTGGGAGTTGGTTTTCTTCTTCCACCAGGTGAGTCTCAGGGACAGGACTCAGGTCCTCATGCTGGATGGCAAGCACCTTTTCCCACTGAGCCATCTCACCGACCCACTCCCAGATTCTCAATGTATGCTTCCATCCCAAATGCGTCCCGAGAGCAGTACGTGTAAATACTCAGCTGCTTTCTGACTGTCTTCATCTGAACTCCCAAAGGCACGACGTACCTAAACGATTCATAATGCTATGTCTTGAAAAGTTCCCTCACATATATCTTGGTGAGTTTCATAGCTCTTTATATATCTTAATCACTTTCTAATTTTTAATACTGTGTATTACACAACAAGCCCGCCATGCTGTTGTCAAAAATACAGAGTAAGGAATTGTTTTAGGGTTTTCTTTCCGGTCCAGATAGATCCACGCCCTGTCCATTGTATGTCCCTGTGATCTGGGTTCGCGTCTTTGATATCTGTATTGCCTTTGTCACATTCCCAACTTCAGTTTCCCGAAATCCTTTCTGATGCCCCCACTTCCCGTTTCCTGTCTACTCCTCCATCTCTGTATTTCATTGTAGTAAAAGTGAAAATACTAGGTTCTTGTTCCACTCGCTTGATTTCGTTCCCTCATTGGCTTCTGTTGCCTTCCAGGTAAAGAACCCTTTCCCATTGCTTCTTTTCCCACACTCCTTTCGTACGCCTAGCTCTCCCGTCGGACCAAAATACCCGAGCACTCTACGTTCTTCTCTTCCTAAAGTCACGCTCCACCCGTGCTCACCTTGCCAGCTTCTGAACCATTGAGAAGGAGTAAGAGACAAGGGTTACAGCTCAGGGTTAAAGTGAGTGCTTAACCTGCCTTTGGCTCTACCTCCAGCACGAAAACCAAAACACCTGCAGTTATGAACTGCCAGACACCTCATTATATAATTATGACAAACAGGAAAAGCACCAGGCGGTGGTGGCACATATCTTTCCTTTAATCCCAGCACTTGAGGTGGGGTGGGGTGAGAGGCAGGAGGATCTCCGTGAGTTTGAGGCCAACTTGGTCTACAGAACAAGTTCCAGGACAGCTAGGGCTACACAGAGAAACCCTGTCTCAAAGATGAAAGAAAGAAAGAAAGAAAGAAAGAAAGAAAGAAAGAAAGAAAGGCAGGCCAAAAAAGAAAAGAAAAAGTAAGTACTGGTGCAGAAATGGAGAAATTAGAACTTGTACCCACTGCTAGTAAAAATGTAGAATGATACAGGTGCTATGGAAAAGAATTGGCAGTTCCTCAGAGAGCTAAGTGTATTTTTTTAAAAAAACTTGCATGTGCTTGAACACACACACACACAGTTTTTAAAAAGTTAATGTAAAGTAATCCTATGACCAGAAATTCCACTTACATTTATGCCACAAGGAATTAGAAACAATTATAAAATAATAACTATATTAATGGCAGCAATATCCATAATAATTAAATAGTAGAAACAGCAACTGATGCTGGATAAATAATGTATGTTGAATAAAAAAAAATCCAGCAGCTGATGAAGGATGAATAAAATATGTTATATTTATTCAGTAAAATTTATTTATCATTGAAAGGAAAATATAAAATATAGGCAACATATGGCTAAACCTTGAAAATGTTATGTCAGGTGAAAAAAAAGCTAGGAGATGGAGAGGTGTCTCAACCATTAAGAGCACTGGCTGCTCTTCCAGAAAGCCCAGGTTCAATTCCCAGCTCCCACTTTGCAGCTCCCAGTTGTTTGTAACACCAGCCCCAGAGGATCCAGTACCCTTTTCTGGCCTCCATGGGCACTGCGTACATGTGATGCCTAGAAGACATATATTCAGGTAAACAGACACATAAAATAAAATATATTTAAAATCTCAACCATGTGTGGTGACACATGCCTTTAATCCCAGCACTCAAGAGGCAGAAGCAGAGGCAGGTTTCTTTCTGAGTTGAGGGCAGCCAAGTCTAAGAGCAAGTTCTAGGATGGCCAGGACTACACAGAGAAACCCTGTCCCAAAAACCAGAGCAATGCCAGGTGGTGGTGGCGCATGCCTTTAATCCCAGCACTTAAGAGGCAGAGGCAGGCAGATTTCTGTGAGTTCAAGGCCAGCAACAACAAATTATCCTTTTTATATCTATCTATCTATCTATCTATCTATCTATCTATCTAAATTTAAAATAAATATAATCTAGTCACAAAGGGCCATATAGTACAGATTACATTTTTAGGAAGTGTTCAAAATAAACAAATCAGTAAAAACAGGGCACATGGTTACCTAGAGCTGAGGGATATAAGATCTTACTTAGTAAAATCTAAAATTGACTTTAGGGATAAATATTCAGGTCTATGGATGTATTATTGAGAGTACACTCTACAATTTAAATTAGTAAATCATATGTAAATAGAATCAGCAATTCTGCCTTAAATTTTAGTCAAGGGCTTATTCAGTAAAGTGTTTGCTTCACTAAGTTAAGTCCCCAGCACCTACCTTAAAAAATAATAATAAAAAGACAGCACTGTACATCTCCACACTGGAGAGGAGGAGAAAGGAATATCCCAGGCGCTTGCTGGCCAGCCAGTCCAGACTACTGTCTGAGTTAAAGGTTTGGTGAGAGGCGTTGGTCCAAGAAAGACTAGGTTTAGGCTGGGGAGACAGTTCAGTGATCCGTGGATAAAGCATTTGATGTTCTAATGCTCAGAACCCATGTAAAGGCAAGCGCAGCACACATGCATGATCCTGGAGGTCCCATAGTAAAAGTGGAGGCAGAGACAGGAGAATGCCAGGAAGCTAGAAAGCTAGCCAGCCTGGAGCACACAGTGGAAAAAGGAAGGAACTCATCTCAAACAAGGCAAAAAGCAAGGACCTGAGGTTTATCTCTGACTGACACACACGCACCGTGGCATACACATACCCTCATTTATGTACACAAATGTTCACATGAACACATAGACACATACACAAGCAAAAATTACATGGAGAACAACTGAGAACAACACCATCAACCTCTGACCTACACCCCCCCACACACATGCATGCACACACACAAACACGAACACACACACAGAGACTCACGCGCACACACACACATGCACACACATATACAAAGACAAAGGATTTTACAGTAACCATCTCCAAGATTTCTTCTACATTTGAAGTAAACATTTTTCCCAGAGACTCCTCCCTCCCTCCCCACCCCCAAACACACACAGACACACAAACATCTCTCTCCTACCTCCACCTTTCCTGCGTCTCAACTCTTCTTAGTATTCTGTTTTCATTTTTGCAAAATTTTTATTTTGTCAAAAAGATGGGAACTAGGACATCACACCATCACACACACTAACAAAAACGCTACCACTGAGCTAGCCCCTCGGCACTCTTTCATAGTTTAAAAACAGTTCCTCCTTACTGTCTCTTTTACTATAATTGAGTCAAAACCCTTTCAAGCCAATCACTGAAGACAAAAGGAATTTCTCTGCTTTATTTGCACCAGCCGTGACTGAGCTTGGTCTCTGTTGCAGGGCGCACCTGGCTTGGAAGGACGTAATGAACACTGGAACAAATCTTGCCATTGGCTAGACCAAAAAGGGAGAATAGCACTTCCGCATGCAGCCAATACTGATTGCTGTACAGACACAGAAATTGAATATGACTTTAAAGAAGAGGGTTTTCTGAGTAGATCATGCTATGTCAGATTATTAGATTATTAGGGAGGTATGGGGTTTTTTGTTGTTATTGTTTATTTTTTTGTTGTTGTTCATTTTTTTTTTTTTTTTAAGCAACGTATCACTTTTAACCCCTAGAGACTTGAAACTTGACTGGGCAAGGTGTCACATGCCTTTTAATCCCTGTACTCTGGAGACATAGGTAGGCAGATCTCTGAGTTTGAGGCTAGCCTGGTCTACAAAGTGAATTACAGGAAATCCAGGGCTACACAGAGAAACCCTGTCTTGAAAAAGCAAAAAAAAAAAAAAAAAAAAAAAAGGCGGCGGGCCTGGAGAGATGTCTTCGCAGTTAAGAACACTGGCTGCTCTTCCACAGACTCCGGGTTCCGGGTTCAACTCCCAGCGCCCACATGGTAGCTAAGAATGGTCCAGTTCCAGGGAATCTGACACCTTCACACCAATGCACATCAAATGAATTTAAATAAATTATCTTTTGAAAAGAAAGGAAAAAGTCAAAGTGGAGGGAGGCAGGGTGTGAATACCTTGCCCTACACCTAAGAGGTTTATTTAATGATTACCACCCATGCCCTATTTACTGACAACTCTTGTCAAGTCACGCTAAGGTCACCATGTCTCCTGGATGAGGTAATTAATTTCAGAGATGCACTAGAGTCTTTTATGTGTGGTTAGCCAGAGTTTCTCTAGAGGAACTGATATTCCTTGGACTTTGCCAGGCCAACATCTGTTCTTCTTTTGGGGGTCTTGATGTTGTTATTATAGCGGTTATTGTTGTTTTGTTTGTCCTCTCTACTCTACCCCTTACAACTCTGTCCTAACAGTACAGAGTGTGATGGACAAGATCAGAAGACCAGGGAAAGTGGCTCACTCTCCTGGGTTTGTACCACTAGGAAGTGCTGCCAGTCCTTCTGACCCAAAAGTCCTTGGAGTCCCCTGAATCATAGGACGAGAATTGAATCCGTGACATTTGTAGATGTATTTAAAGCACACGGAATATGTACACACGAGACAAATCTGTTGCTGAATGGTATTTTATTAGCTTAATAATCTGGGCCGGCCCTTAGCATTAATAAGCTTCAGCACTCGTCACAGATTTTCATTCGTTGATAGGAAACTTCCTTGTTTTAAAAAATGCGGTGAGAGAAAGGGAGTCTACTTCTTAGGGGCTGCAGTGACAGCAGGCTTCTCTTCGCGGGTGATGGGAATGGTACGCTCAGGGCCCGAGGCCTGTTTCCTTGGTCCATTCACAGTGAGGACCCCATCAGATGACAGGGATGAAGTAATGCTGAGAGGATCCACATCAGCCGGGATCCGGTACTTCCTGTGGAACTCCCTAGAGATGAAGCCGTGCTCGTCCTAGTTCAAGAGAAGGAAGAAAGAAGCAGAGAAATAAGAACGGGAAACACCATCACTTGGCCCAAACTCAGACATTCCCTTCCCTTAGGTGAGACCAAATGGCCCTGACATCATAAAGACAAAAGAAATATCTGGAGTTGGGGATATAGTCTAGTGGTGAAAGGCCCTGAACTTCATCTCCAACACTGCAGCAAATATACAGATAGCAAAGTCAAGGGCTGTTCATCCCGGTTTAAGCCTAGGATAAAACTGCCCAGATATTACACCTAGGGGCACTAGCCACAAAGGGATGAATCTGTGTCGGTTGTCCTTTGGAACTGAGGATTTATGTCCTTGAGGAAGCCCATAAGTTGTCCCGGTTCCTCAGGAATGTCTCAGGATATTCCATAGGATCACTGATATTATATAAGGTGACTCTATCATGGTGGTCCAGTCTTAAATTATATGAACAAAACTGAAACAGCCTGAGGACATTAAGATACACAAATGACGCACAGGTTCTGAGTTATTAATTTTGATTTGTTTTTTGAGATAAGTAGGATTTCTCTGTGTAGCTGTCCTGAAACTAGCTCTGTAGACTAGGCTGGTCTTGAATTCAGAGATCCGCCTAACTTGCTTCCTGAGTCCTGGGATTAAAGGTGTGCACCACCACGCCTGTCTAAGTTATCCATTTTTAAGAAGCAATTGTAACACCTTTTCAGGAAGTCAGGAAAAAGTGCAAGAGGAATTGTTGACCTAACCCTTACACCTTCTGAATTGCAAGGATTCACCCAAACAAATCTCAATCCACTGACTTCCTTACAGCCAGAAGCCTGAAGCTCCGAAATGTGGACAAACCATGGGGCTTAGCATTAAAATGAGCAGAAGAAGAGCCATGGAATCCTGAACATCTAAAAGTCACAAGACCGAAATGGCTTCAACCCTGTAGTTAATATCATTATGGACAATAACCATTATGTACAACACACTTCACCTAAATCAGTGGTTGCCAGACTGAAATTACCCAAGGAGATTTTTGTGAAATGTTGATGCCTGAGTTATATTTCGAAAAGTCTAATGATATTTCCATGTCAGACAACAAGGCAATCAAAACAAACACTAAGGGACCCTTCTCTCAGCAAAACCATAGCAATAACAACAGCTCTACCCCTGATTTAGCTTCCTAGCCATTGATTTGCAGCTCCTGCTCTAGTCCCTTCTGCTGGGGGGGGGGCTGGAATCCTGCCAGCCTCGGAGATTGGTGGCAGTGCCTGGCATCCAGTGTGCACTCAGTGCATCCACAAAAGCAACAGACCCGTGCACACACCTGGCGCTCCTCGTGCTTGCCATGAACTTCAATCACGTCTCCCAGCACCTTGACTTTCAGTTCCTCAGGGGAGAAGTGCTTCACGTCCAGGTTGACAGAGAACCTGTCCTTCTCCATCCGCATCTAGAAGGACAGTGTTGGGGGGGGAGGGAGGAGAAAAGATGGCAGGATATTTAGTAAATTGGAGAAGACTCACTGTTCTATAGATTTACTTCCTGTCCAGGTAATTCATCTTCCTCTTTGCTGCTAAAGGAAAAAAAATCCCTTTCTGAATGACTCTGATGCATGAGAGCCACCATAGTATTCTACAAGGGACACCTCTTGGTCATCAGTCCCAAACTTTACTTAGAGGCACAGGGAAGAAGATAGGTCACTAGGGGCCATGGCTTCTGCTGCCTCTCTACCCAATGCCGGCTTTGTCATTTGTGTAAAAGACAAAGGCCCCCTTTTTTTGTTCAGCTCCCTGCCAAGTTTCCTCCCCACTCAATCTGGAATGTTCTGCTGGTCCTGTCCTTCCAAAGCCCTTGCCCACTCAGCTCCTGTTTCCTCACCCTGGAATATTTTTAAACCAGAGTGCTATCTGTGTGTGAGAGCTTCTGTTAATCTTATCTGTTCAACCCTTTTCCCACCCTGTTAGGACAAGTCAAGGCTTCCCGGAGCAGACGTGCATCCATTCCTCATAAGCCATGGAGTGAGGTGAGTACACTCTCTCAGCCATGAGAAACCCAGAAAATCAGAGGCAAAGGAAGAGAGAGGTAGGATATAGTGATGGATGTTTCCAGCTCCTTCCAGGGGGGGCATGGAAAGTTCAGAATGAGTGGGTTTCTCTCCGAGCTCTATGATCGGAGATGACAAAATATGCCAGGACCTGGTTATTAGGAAGGTTAAGTAAAGGAGCTGAAGCAGCTCTTAATGCAAATCATTATGAATAAAGCCAGAAAGGGACACCCTGCTTCATCATTAGGGGACAGAAGATGAGCTTCACCGTGCACAGAAAAGTGTAGCAGGAAAGGGAGGAACATCAAACAGAGACAGCTGCCCGAGGGACGAGGAAAACAGTGACCTCATCTCTCCGTACCTTTGCACACACACGTGCCTGAGATGACTTGGGCAGCCACCAAAAGGGAAACAAAGGGAGAAGTAAGTGTCCAGGAGGTTCCAGGAAGGGTGCTCCTGCCCTGGCACAGGGGCAGACTCACCTCTGAGAGTCCAGTGTCAATCCAGCTGGGTGCCCGAAGGAAGGAGGGTGGCCGAAGGTAGAAGGGGCTCAGAGAAGTGGCCGTTGAGAAGAGGTCAGACTCCAACAGATGCTCCCCGAAGAACTGGTCAAAGAGGCGGCTGGGGGAGTGGAAAGGGAAGAAGGGGCGCCGGATCCAGGGGTGGTGGATGGCGATGTCCATGGTGGCTAGATGAATGTAGTCTCGGTTGACTGGTCAACTCCTTCAGCTGCAGCTACAGCCAGCCCCTTATATATGCAGTCTTGTGAAGCTTCTGGAATGGTGATGTCAGGGGTTTTATTATCCCAGCTCACCGCCAGTTCATGGAGACTTGTGACAGGATTTGGCAGGGTGACACATACCCAGTACTCACTGAGCTAAGAAAAGAGAAACACAAACACGGCTGAGCTGGCCAGTGACTTGTCATGGTCTTGTTTCACTAGCTCTCTGTCCACTCCCAGGGACACCCACCCCCATCCTTGTTCTCTGGAGCTAGGACAGGGTCAGGAATCTCAAGCAGCTGGTGGCGTGCCCCTCCTCCTCTCCAGTCTTGCATGCCAGGGGAGTTGAGCCAGCAACTATCTTGAGCCTGGGCAGGGACTGGAATCTTCCTAGGTCGGGCCCCAGAGACTTTAACTCTTTGTGGTGCCCTAGAGGAGAGCAGTGACCACGAACATGTCAGTCAGTCCCAGGTTATCTGATTGGATCCCTGAGTCGACCTGGGTGCAGAATACCCTGAAATTAAAGAGACAGAAAAATGAATCTTGCATCTTTGATGGGATGTGTTGTGCATGGTGCCTACCATTGAGAAGGACAAAAGGTGATACAGAAATGTACAGTTTGTGAAGGCCCAAACCCTCAGGCAGGACACCAATTTCTTTTCCCAAATCACTCCAGGACCAGGACCCACCAGCTGTCCTTCCAGGCCTCTGCGACAGCTGAAGGGTGTGCAGAAGAGGGTTCTTAGGGGGTCCAGGCTGTTCTGGTCACACCCTCATCGCACTCTGGGCCCAGGCTCCTGGCCCTCCCCCAGAGGCATTGCACTATTTTCGGTGGTGTAGACCCCGCCCCCACTCTGACTGAGTCCTGGCTCTCCCTCCAGCTAAAGGGGTCGTGTCGATCTTGTTGGGGCTGCACTTGGGATAAGGGCTGCCAGTCGCAACCTCAGTCATGTCTGGCCGCACAGTGCCACATGCCCACCCAGCCACTGCCGAGTACGAATTTGCCAACCCCAGCCGCCTGGGTGAGCAGCGCTTCGGAGAAGGTATGGGCCCAGATGCTTCCCACCCCCACCTCCTGAAATTCCGGGCTCACCGCCCAGTTTCACTGGCCTCCACCCTACCTGGGGCTTAAGTGAACTCCTGGGCCATCTCCCACCCCAGATTCCCCCCTCAAGCCAAGGCTCTCCTCTCGCTACAGACTTCAAGATAGGCTTTAGACCCGCAGGGCTTTGGGTATCCGGGACTTGCAAGCTGCATACTTTCGGGTTTCGCGTCTGTCCTCCCCATGCCTGCTTGTTTTCCCCATTGCCATCTCCTTTCCTCTCCCAGACCCTCTTCAGCAGCTTCCCCACCTGCTCTTCCCAGGCCCACATCTCTTGATCTCGCCTTTCAGCCCCGTGCACATTGCATCCTGCCTCATCCTGCCACTTGCTTTCTCTCTCTGCACCCCCAGGTCTCCTTCCAGAAGAGATCCTAACTCCCACCCTCTACCATGGCTACTATGTTCGGCCTCGGGCCGCCAGAGCTGGGGAGGGCAGTAGGGCAGGGGCCTCAGAGCTCAGGCTCAGCGAGGGCAAGTTCCAGGCATTTCTTGATGTGAGCCACTTTACCCCAGACGAGGTCACCGTGAGGACTGTGGACAACCTGCTGGAGGTGTCGGCTCGGCACCCCCAGCGTCTGGATCGACACGGCTTCGTGTCCCGAGAGTTTTGTCGCACCTATGTCCTGCCAGCAGATGTGGACCCCTGGCGGGTCCGAGCTGCCCTCTCCCATGATGGCATCCTTAACTTGGAGGCACCTCGGGGTGGCCGGCATTTGGACACGGAAGTCAATGAGGTCTACATCTCTCTGCTCCCTGCGCCTCCTGACCCGGAGGAAGAAGAAGAAGTAGCCAGAGTTGAGTCCTGACTGCCTGCGGGAGAGCCAGCACCCAGTGAATCTCCTGTCTACGTCTCCCGGGGATTCCAGAAGTCCACCACCCCAGAGGTAGCAGCATCCTCAGGGGAAGGGGATAGGTGTATGGTCCACAGTGTATGGTTTGATTCTTTGATGTGTCATAGCCTTTGATTTAGTTCTGGGTGGAGCTGAATAAACCCAAACCTTGGGGCCTTGTTTGTGCTGCTCCTGTTCTGTAGCATGGAAGACCGAACCACGGACGGATTGGAAGGTCATAGGGAGCAATTTCCACTGTGAAATGTGCCCATCTTCTCAGCGTCCTAAGCTCACACTTGGATGCTGAGGTCACTCCCGGAAGCTGACACTGGCTCCAGATCAAATTCCTAGCCATAATTTTCTCACAATGCAACAAAAGAGAGAATGATCCTGGGAGGGAGAGGGATAGGCCATCCAAACAGCCCAGAGGGCACTGTCTGAGCCGGTGATTAGAGACACAAAAACAAGGGTCTCCAGGCTGTCTGGCCTTTTTGGGTAGGGGTTAGGAAAATGTTTTTTTTTTTTTGCTGGGGAGAGTTTCCTAAAGCTCTGAAGTGAATGTTTTGCTTTCATGTATCAATGGCTTTGTCTCTGGGTGAGGGAAGGGGTGTGCATACGTGGGCATACAGACACGTTAATCCACCACTCTCCCTGAACCCACAACCTTCCCCTCTTGAGTACAGGGGAGGCCCATCTCTGATTTTGTAATAACCCGTAGAGAGGAAGCACAGAACGCTGTCCTAATCTAAGACTCAGGGCAGCTTCCACTGTCATCCTGCCGTGGCAGTGGTCAGGAAGGCTGAAAGCAATTTTAGTGCTGGGAGCACGGTGTATTCAAAAATGTCGGTTGGTTGGGAGAGGCTGTGCCTTACTCTTCACAATCAAGAGAACGTGCATGTGTATGATTTGAGAGGTGTCCTAAAGAGTTCCTTTCTTTCATTCTTATACATACATACATACATACATACATACGTACGTACGTACGTACTCCAGGTTATGGTAGATATCCAAAATTCTTTCATTAATGTGGCTGTTTTTTAATTCAATGTGATTGTTTTTTTAACTCTTGGGGGTTAAAAATCCATCTGAAATCCAAGAAAAGCTATCAATCCTCTTACCAGAAAAATACACACACTTGCAAATTTGTCAGCTCAGCTTTTTTTTTTTTTTTTTTTTTTTTTTTTTTTTTTTTTTTTTTTTTTTTTTTTTTTTTTTTTTTTTTGTCAGCTTAGTTTTTGAGATCCCTACCCCTCTTAGGAATGTGTGGAACTCCAAGGTAAGAGCACTTCTTCAAGTAATTTGATTATTGGCTTAAAAACCATTTTCTTTTTCAAACCAAAGCAAGAGCTGGAGTGTAGCTCAGAGACAGAGTCTGACAGGCACAGACTCCTGGTAGAGCCCCAGCACCCCATAATGAATGGATACAATAAAAGTTTACCTCAGAGAAACAACATTGGCCATATTCACCTCTTCATTTAGCTCAGTAAACATTCATCAAATAATATACAAGTCAAGCAATAAAGTGTGGGAGGTAAGCATTGTAGAGATAAATAAGAACTGGGTATCTTTGATCAGCTACCCTTAGAAAACCTAACATCTGAGTGAGAAGAAATGCGAAAGGCCTAGTGTAAGTCTGGTTTTTTTGTTTTTTGTTTGTTTGGCAGGCAGATCTCTGTGAGTTTGAGACCAGCCTGGTCTACAAGAGCTAGTTCCAGGACAGGCTCCAAAGCCACAGAGAAACCCTGTCTCGAAAAACCAAAAAACAAAACAAAACAAAAAAAAAAAAAAAAAAAAAACAACCC